AAGCACATCTAGTGTCTACATTGGAGAAGGTTACCAATTGTTAGAAAAGAGAGAGCAGTTTCAATTAGTACAGTGAATTATACAGCCGACAGTTGAAGTTGCAATAAGTACTAAAACATTGAAAAACAGGTCGCAAAGCAATACATGATTACTAAGAGGAAAAAGAACCATCTGTACAAACCTGCTTAAACATGAGACCAATTCCAGGACGACTCGCAGTGACAAGACGTTCACTGAAGCCCTGAATTTCAAGTAAAAGTGTAAGAATAAGCCCAAAAGATGGCGGAATTTTAAGATGTCGATTAGGACAAACTAGAATAACAGAGCACAAACCTTGCTAAGAGCATTAATTGCCACAATAGCAAACTGGATATTTGCAATTTTCACAGGAAAGTCTTCTGAATTTGCAACTCTTGCTTGCACAAGTCCTGCCTCAATCTAGTACCACCATATCATATGGAAAGAGTGTGAGTACACCTGACCATAAACAATGCCAAAATTTTCATGAAACTCGAAATGGTAGAAATGAAAAACCTGTTGACAGAGAGGGGTAAGCAGTAAAGACAGATAATCTGCCTGCTTTTCAGCTGGGACATCCTCTAACCCTATGATTAAGCCAATAGCCTACAGAAAAGCACATTATGAGTTAGAGATTTTATTTTAAGGTGCTGAAACAAATTTCCAAGCCAAAAGTACATAGATGAAACAGCAGATTTAAGGGGTAGTCATAACCTCAAAAATGTGACTGCCATCTTCAGTTCCTGAAAGTCCTCTTGAAGCAAAGTTCATTGTGGTCAACTGGGACAATGTATCTTGAACGCTCTGATAGTTAAAAAATATATATATATATGGTTAGACAAAAAATAAACGAACGAATACATCTGATTTGCAGAAATGGAAACTGTCTTTCATCAAACAAGCTGTAGACAAGAGAAAATCAATCCTTACCTGCAGGATCTCGTCAATGAAAGGTACAAGCTTTGATTTTAACAATTTCACGACTCTCATGAACAAGTAACATGCTCTACGGCTCACATAAACATTCTGGTGATGCAAACCCCTATCATCAAGGAAAGCACCAAGAACATTGGGAATGTGCTGGGAATTTTCCTGAATGAACTTCATGTATCGTGTTATGATTTCTAAGTATACAAGTGCAACTAGTCTATGAGAATGACAGGGGAACGGTGTGGTCAAGAGCATCGGAATTAGTTCACTCAAACACCCAGATCCTGATTTCATGGCCTCCTCGGTCATAGACTCTCCAAATGAATACAAAAGCGAAAGCGCAGCTTCCACTTCTTCGACATTTCTCTCAGATGAGGATTTAACAGCATTTGCTAGTGAGTTACGAATGAAATGCTGAGTAACTTCAGGAGCAACACGGCCCACTGCACGTAATAAGACAAAGAGATCTTTTCTAAACTCGGACATTCTATCTTCCTCTTCCAATCCAACTTTATCCAGTGAATTAAGGTTATTACGATACATAGGATCATAGCAAATCTGAATTCTTATCACTTCAAGAATCTGTGTAATGTGGAGCAGCTGTTTCTCCTTTAATGCAGGGAGGGTTCTCAGAGCGGAAAGGTAACCCTGGAGAAACTGGACGATGCTAAAAGTAGAATCTACCTCACAGTTCTGCATGACATAAAAAACTGATGGCAGAACTTCGTTCAGAAAATCCATAGAGAGTGCCTTGGTTTCCTCTGAGTTCAACCGCTTATGGCATTCTAGAACCTCAACAGCATAGCCAGTAAGCAAAGCAGATATTGCTGATACCAATTCTGAATCAACATCTCCGGATACTAAACCAAAAACACGACTTATTTGAAGGGTCTGCAAAAGGGACAGTTTTGATGGCGGATCCATCCGCTTAGAAACCATGGCTAAGACACACCCAGCTGCTGCACCACGGACTTGATCAGACAATCCGTCAGACAAAATCAATTCAAAGAGTAACGGAACAAATACACCATTTGCAACCAATGTAATGTCAATCCAAGAGACAAATCTTCTCATGCAATCTAACACAGTGGCAGAAAGATCAGGATCGGAATTCCAGTACAAAGATACAATTTCATACCATGCTCTAACAATCTGAGGGACACATTGTTGCCTCATAGCATCCTTGACACGAGCAGCCACAGATGTCTCTTCTGGTGTCCGGGGGTAATCCAAGCTAATCAACTCATCATCCAACGAATTCAAAACCCGACAAAACATGTCGATGAAAACTGCCCCTTTGCTCAGGTGAGGCATAAAATCAAGAAACACCGAAGGCCAAATCAAAGGGTACTCAAAATAGATCAGAGTAACCAAAACCTGTGCAAGCTTGTTCTTTACAAATGGCGGGCCTTCCACAACTCTTACAGCATTCTCATTATCAATAACCTCCAAACACGCCATGGAAAACACTGATTTCCTCACATAAGTCTTCTCGTCGGAGCTCATGGATACATATTTAACACTCAGAACATCCTGCAGCGTCTGCAAGCACCAGAACTGAACTTGGACAACCTTGGAAAACCACAACTTCTCAATACAGATACTACATATAGATGGAGTCTCTTTGATTTGCTGACAATAAGAAACAGCCTGAGACTTTAACGCCGAATCAGTAGAGTCAAAGCTAATTACTATTGCCTTTTCAAGGTCATCCATTGTGTTAACCCCACCAAAAAAAACCCCAAAAACCGAGATTCAAAATCCAGTCCTGCTTATTTGCATACAAGTCAAAACAATGGCTCAAATTAGTATCGTCAGCTAGCTTATCCTTCACCACCGTTCTCTTCCCGTATCAGATTTTGATGCGAAGAAGAAGACGAAGACGAAAAAACGAAACTTTGAGTGGGTTTCGCGTGAGGGCTTACCAGAAGTAAGGATCTTGGGGATTGTGCGATAAAAAAAGATCGAATTTTTGAGAGTGAGCTGTAGTAGGAAAGGCAATTTGAAACCCTAGTTTGAGCTGCTCTTCTTCGAATTCAAGGTTTCTTTAGGAAATCTATATAAATAAATAAAAATTATGAGTTTATTGAAAATTTCCTCTTGTGAAGATTTTTAATCATATACGAAGAAATTTGTAAGACTTGGAGAGAGAGAAGAAGACTATAGCGTAGTAAGGGTTTTTATACACTAATTTTAATTTATTTGGTTCTAGGCCTGCAGAAACTTTTATTATTGGAGTGTATTTGCAATTAAAGGATATATCTTAGGAAATACTGTAGTAAATTGTTTTTATTGCCACCATAAATAAACTTTTAATTTGAAGTTAAACCGATTTTAACATGATACATGACTATTATAACCAGATCGATTCAAGAAATAAGGTCCATGGGCTTTTTGTATTTGTATGAACCAAATTGATTCCCTTTGAAAGAGCAATACCTTTTGGAAGTATAAAACCATTTTTAAGCTTATAACAATTTATAAATTAATTTAATTTTGGTAATTTAAAACCATTAAGAGAAAACAGCACAAAGAGTTTTACATTAATTGGTATATCTCATGGAACAATGTTAAAAAAATGCTAGGATGGTGAACAAGTAATTAAAGTATAAACCATGCACTCCATAATGTAAAAACATGACAACTGGAACATAAAATTAACAGGAAGATTACATTTAATCAGAAACATATGTATTGGACTCTAATGTATTGATGTATATTGTATATATAATATGTTCTAGCTAATTACACCACTCTAATTGCCACTCTAATTGTATCAAACTCAATAATGAAATTTCAAAATAGAGTTGAATTCTCCTCAATCCGGATATTAAACAATGCCTATATTTTCTTCATCCATAAATTCACCACAAAACTTTTTGTGGTAGATATTGACTCTGACGTATATTTTTTAAAAAAATCTTCTAGAATCATGTTTAATGGTATTCAAAGACAATCATAAATCTTCAGATATATCATAGTTCATGTTACCTTCATTGAGCTCTTAAAAAGGAAACTTTCCAAGTAGTCTATGACCAACCCTTCCATGCACATTCTCCAAAGTCAGAGGCAAAAAGCTAACCCTCAAAAATCCATCTTTGTTTAGTATTTGTGGTGTTATTGATCGCATAATATTCAACTTCAATTCCTGCCGATTTGGTGAAAAACATAAACAAACCTAGCAAGCAGAAATTGTCCAAGTCGTCTAACATTTGCGCTTGCTAGAAATATATATGAGCAATGTAGCCCTTTTTATATCAGCTTAAAGATTATGTCAAAAAAAAAACATTCCAAAACAAAAACTAGCTAGCAAGCAAAAATATACAGTACATACAGTAGGTTGAAATTAGCTTTATATGCTTCGCGGATCTATACAAACAGATAAAATACATATGATGATGATTCCCAATCTCGGCAAGTGTAGTCATTCTCTCAAATACACATTTCAATTAAACCTAGCTACAACTCTATTCGTTCTAACTGATTTGATTCAACTAAAACTAAACCTCAAACAACCTTTTTAATTACCTCCTTTTAATTTTCATTGTGTGTCAAAGTTTTTACATCAAACCAAAAAAACCTTTCGTTTACTTCCAATTTAATAACTCGCCCGTCTCGAAAAAGAAATTACCAACACTAGAGAATTTTTATCACTGACGTTGTAATCGTGCTTATTCTATAGAAAAAAAAAAGTGAATCAAAACCTTATAATGCATAATTCTTTTATAAAAAAGAATCTCATAGTGAGCCATGTGTATCTCGGTCCATATATAATGAAATAAATCGAAAAGATGTGAGGGGAAAGAGGGGCACAATACTCTATAGAGAAGTCAGATGCAAGTGCCGGCCGGAAAAAGAATGTGTAAAAGAGAGAGAGAGAGAAACCTCCTCTCCTTTTCCTTTTCATGCTACGACAAAACTTCACCGCCACTTGTTTTGTCTTTATAATTTCTCCTTCACATTTTCCTCTTTTCTTTAATACAAGTTTCCTTGCATATAGCTAAATTAATATCAATGCTTTCACATGTATAAGACTACAAAACCATATAAAAACACGAAACCCTAAATATTGTGGTAGAGAGAGAGAGAGAAGATGAACAAATGGTTGGGGTTTCCTTTGACACCTCATTTGAGAATCTGCGATAGAGAAGAAGAAACTGACGAAGAAGAACTTAGACACGACGGTTCCGATGGTTCTCTCTTCTTCGCCGATCCTCTCACACATCATCCTTCTGGTATACATATACATAAATATATATCACATATATGTTGTTTGTTGGCTTGGCCTCACTTGATATTTTTCTTTTATTATTATTTTGTGTAGTTGGGAGATATAATATTAATCATGATCACCATCATCATCATGAAGAGGAAGTGCCAAACTCTCATCAAACCGAGTATCCTATGAATCATAACCAAACCAATATCGATTACACCACTGTGATTAACGGATTATACCCACCAGGTTACTTTTTCCAAGAACAAACCGTAGTTACACCACAATACCCGAACCTAAGCAATGATTATAGAGATTTTGAGAGGGTCGGTTCGGTCTCGGATTCCAAATCTTGGTTAAGGCAAGGAACTCCAACATTTCCACTCTCGAGTAGTTACGTTACTGAAGAGGGTGGTACGAGCAGTAACATTAGTCATATGAGCAAAGAAGAGAGTACTGGTTTAAACACCAATGGCTCGACGCTGTCACTGGCGTTGAGCCAAGGCGCTTGTTCTGATTTGATTAACTGCTCGAATGTATCTATGCCGCCGGTTAAGGTAGATGAGAAGCGGAAGAGATTGGATGGTAAATCGCAGGTGGTGAAGGAACCGGTTCCTCGGAAGTCGGTTGATAGTTTCGGACAAAGAACTTCGCAGTATCGTGGAGTTACAAGGTGCGTACGTTATGTTGTTATTAAATAGAAGATATGTAGATGACTCAAACTTACACGTAATATATAAAAGTGTGAATGCTACAATTATGCATGTATATATGTCATTTTATTTTTGTAGTTATAATGTACTTATGTAGTCGACACATATATAAGCGTATTTGTTGTGCGTGTAAACAGGCATAGATGGACAGGGAGGTATGAAGCTCACTTATGGGATAATAGCTGTAAGAAAGAGGGACAGACAAGGAAAGGAAGACAAGGTTATATATTTTAAAGAAAAACAAATACATAAAATCATTCATTTTCTGATTCAAATAATATGTTATGCATCAATAAGGTTTACTAACAATTCTTTAATTCGTTTCTTTTGCAATTTCGAATTCCCATTCTTGATCAATCAATCACAGTGTATCTTGGTAAGCCAGAATTTTATTTCCACAACCTCTTCTGCATTGGATCCCTTTTGTCGAATTCGTGTTGCCCTAGTTGTGGTCTCTTTTATATATTATCTTATGATAAAAAAAACAAGTATTTAATAGCAAAATAATATATATATATATATATATATATATATATATATATATACTTTATTATAACAGGAGGGTATGATGATGAGGGGAAAGCAGCGAGGGCTTACGATTTAGCGGCTCTGAAGTATTGGGGTCCTACCACTCACTTAAATTTCCCTGTGAGTTTGATCTCAATCGATCTGGTCCCTAGCTAGCCTATCTCCCACTTCTAACTTCTTTATGTTTTTTTTATATATATGTATTGTACATGCAACATATATAATAATAACAGATTTATTACTTATTTTGGATATTTAATGTCATTATTCTACTGCTTTTGATGGAACTACTGTATATATTATTAGTTAGAGCTGCTTGTAATTAATATCAGCGTTTAGTTCTGATCCTCTTTTATTTCAGGTGAGTAATTACGAAAAGGAGATCGAGGAACTCAATAACATGAATAGGCAAGAATTTGTTGCCATGTTGAGGAGGTAGCTCTCAATCTAAACATCACTCTCTTTGAGAGAAAACTAGTTGATTTATATAACGATAATTATAGCTTTCCTATATTACATACTTAATTAACCAAACTCTTTGTTATAAAATTCCCATATTATAGGAATAGCAGTGGGTTTTCAAGGGGAGCTTCTGTTTACAGAGGAGTTACAAGGTTTGATTTGGACATATATATAGCTTGTAAAAAAAAATTAACTATGAGCATTAAAGAACATGTAAAATTTAACCATATATATATGATCACCGATGTATAACGCATGCAGGCATCATCAGCATGGAAGATGGCAAGCTAGAATTGGAAGAGTTGCTGGAAACAAGGACTTGTACCTTGGCACATTTAGTATGATCCATGCACTTTCTCTATATGGTTCAATAACATTTGATATTGTATACATTATATATAGTTTGTCCTAACTTTGATGAAGGCACGCAAGAAGAAGCAGCGGAGGCGTACGATATCGCGGCAATTAAATTCAGAGGCTTAAACGCTGTAACCAATTTCGATATAAACAGATATGACGTGAAGAGGATATGTTCCAGCTCTGCCATTGCCAACAGCGACCAGGCCAAACGTGATTCCACCACCGGCCAGTGACAACAACCACCGTGAAACTTTCTCGCCGGGGAGACTATTCCCACTGTTGGTTTGACGAACCTATGAGTTTGAAATAGTAGAAATAAGTTTCGTCGAGTACTCTCGTTATACTAAACGCGCGTTACTAAGTTAATTAGATATACAACATTATTTAGCAAATTAGGTTATCAAAATCCAGGATTACTAGCTATTTATGATATACTTTGATTTAAATGTCATTATTTTCGGCATGAATTAAAAATGAAAATTGTTTGGTTTGAATCGATACTCCATATAGAATCAATTGAACAGTTAATGCATCAATTATTTATGCTCCATAAATAACAAAAGTGTTACAGAATTAGTGGATGCATTAACTGGCGTACGTGGTCGATCGTACTTTTAAGAAATATAGCGTTACAAAGTGAAAACTTTAAACTTACTAAAATTATAATCGAAGTCGATTGAAGCTGTCCAAGCCTTTGATTTTGAACACGTACGAAGCTAGTCAATTATATTAAGAAGCGTAGGGGATAATATCAAACACGTATCAAGCTAGTTAATTACATAAATATTTATTGCCGCACCTTAACTTATAATCGAGTACTCCGTCAAAGCCTTAATTAAGCCTTCGTATAATGGTACTATATATAAAATATATTGTTGGATACAATTACACATATACGCATATGTACAATACGTACATTGCATGCATATACATATACATATACATATACAAAACATATATATATATACATGTATGATGTATACCGTATACTAACAATATATATTAGTAATATTGTGCACATACGACCATAATAAGAAAATAAGAAAATGCAAAAATGTCCAGAAAAAGGAAAGTAGCTAAATTAAAAGAAAATCCTAATTCCTCATATGCGACGCATGCAATTTGGGCCACATGAATACATCATTATTCGAGTGTAGCTAGTAGTTTATACAAATACCGTCTCTGTGTATGTTGTATTTTGTACGTTGAGAGTGAGTACAGTGTATCAAATTGCTTTAAATATATTGTTGATGATGACGAAGATGTGTGTCAATGTAAGCTTTATTAACTCGGCTCCATACCTCACAGATCAATGATTTCATCAGAATCCTCTTTACGTGTGTCTCTTCCACCCCTCCCAGCCTCAGCACATACATAATTCCCTCCATTATTACACAATATTCTTGTATTGTCATTTAAAACTACTATAGAATCTTCAACTATTTTATTAGGATTTCATATACAATCTCATTCATCATATCTGTTGGGTTCTCTAACCCAAACTAATTTTCCATTAGTATAATATTGTCCGCTATAACTATATCATAGATACAGAAAAGAAAAAATTTGTTTATCTGAAAATATAATCACACATTTCTCATAGACTCATAGTGCAATGCAAACATATACAGTATACATATTGTCTAACCATAATGAACACATTTTAATATAATGTTAATTCGCTAATCCAAATAATAATAATACATCATCACATCTGAGATAATATATGATGGGCCTAATTTGATAAAATAATATAATATTAAAAGGAAGAGATCCAAAACGGCCCACCGGATCTTTCAAAATAAATAAATAATAGTTATATCAAAACTTGCATCATCATCATCACTCAAGTCTTCTTCTTCGTTCGTTCCAGCTCGCTTAAATCTATACTATCAAAACGTAAATAGTATACACCAGGAACAAACACGATCTACGTTACACTGTTCTTTCAGATTCACTTCTCTTTCTTCTCAATATTCGATTCAGTTTAAGCTTCTCATTCAACTCGAGAACCCTTCAATTTCAGATTTTGAAACTCAAATCCCAATTTCGAGATTATTACTCCAACTCTCACTTTGTTCTCCTACTGTCAATTTCTATCAATGGAACCGCCATTACAAAGTTTGGTTCTTTTTCTGTTTTGCTTCGTCTTCTTCTACTTCATCTCTGCTTCTATCTGCGTTGACACACAATCACTAGATCCTTCCATCACTCCTCCTCCGTCTCCTATATCCTTAATTACACCGCCTCCTCCAGTAAGTGTCGTCGAGAGTAACAAGGCGATTCACGAGAAGCATCATCACCGGAAGAAAAAATGGAGAGAGAGAAGAAAGTCAAGGAACCATCACCTTCGTCATCATCATCCACCGCCTCCTCGGAGGAAGCAGAAGGGGATGAACACGGGGAAGATGGTGGGGCTTTTCTTCGCCGGTGTAGCTGCAGCGTTGCAAGTTTTTGTTGCTGCTTTCTTGCTTTTCAAAAGAAGACAGCTTCTCCGGAAGATCAATGATGTACACTAAAAAGTTCAAAACTCTACAACAACGAGATTCTAAAGCTCATTAAGTCATTTCTTGAAAAGAGCATTGCGGGTTGGAGTTAAGTCATCTCAATTTTGGTCCTTTTTTAATCTGTAAATTTATTGTCTTTTGGCTGCAACTCAAAGTTGTTGTTTAGAATGTCTAAGTATTGTAGTTGTTCTGTTTTAATCTGGAACCTGTCGTTTCAATGCAGAGTTGATAAAGTTTCTCAGAATTGATGATACATTTTTGGAAAATTTGTCAGAAATAACAAGAACTGACATTGTGTTCTTAATTCCCAGCTGTGTAGATCTAAGTCATGATGTCTCCTTTTTGTATGGTTCTAATGTCAAACATATCTTATAAGAATAATTGCAGAGGACCGATCTAAACTTTATGGATTTGGGACCACTGAACCCATGTGAGAGTCTGGTCCTTAAAGTTAGCATAATTTTGTTTCTTTTCCTATATTGGAAGGTTCACTCAGGTCAATGGTTAAGTTTAGAGCTAATGTTATGAGCAGTGTGACCAACTCAGGATTTTATATGATAAAAAAAGAAGAAGCTCACATACAATGTAATTACGTTGACAGGTTTTGAAGAATTACAAGGAACACAAAACAGAGATGACAAGAATCCATCAAAGAGAAAAAGAAGAAGAACATGTGTTGTTGTTTTAGTCAAGGAGTTCCAAGTCTCTTTTAACCAGTTCCTCCAAGAACACCCTTGAGCTTCTTGACTGTAGCAGCGTCAAGGAAAGTAGTACCCACGACGAGGTCAGTGGGAAGATTGTTAGCAAAGAGTGCGAAATCAAGAATCTGCAGACCAGGGTTAGCGCTGCTGAAAGTGACAAAGGCTGCAGCAGGAGTTTTTCCTTGGTTGATTTGGAAATGAAGTAAGCCCTGTGGGAAAACCATGACCTGTCCCGGTTTAAGCGTCTGCAGGTAGACAGCGTTTGCAGAGGAGACAAACCCAGCAGTAATGGAGCCATCAAGGACAAAGAGAACCTCAGAGGCACCAGGGTGAGTGTGCATTGGGATCACACCTTTTGGAGCTAGGTCAAGTCTAGCCGTAGAGAGGCCTAGACCGTTCAGAGCTGGGAACTGACCAACGAAACCGGGAGTGACGGCAGCGCTGATGATGTTTGTAGTGTTTCCAGGAGTGCCTAAGCCTGAGAAGACGAAGTCACTAGCTTTGACATGCATGGGACGAATGCACTGGTAACCCGCAGGGGTTTCAGCACGTTTCAGGTTTGCGACACAGAAGTCTTGAACAGAGGCATTGGATAGAGCAAAGAGGAGAGATAAGAGGAAGATAATACGCATCATTTTGAATGGTTGGTTTAGGAACAACTCTCTTCTTTTCTTTTTTCTCTACTCCTCTCTCACTTCTTTCCTCTGTGTTTATATAGAGAAGTTGGTGGATAAACTGTGTGGTGAACATTGGAAAGACGGAGATAAGCTTTTGGAAACCATTATGAACGTCCAAGAACAAGGACCACTCTTAGAAACAAACAAAATGCCTCTTTTCTTTGCCTGCCTGTTCTGCATCATTGGTCATCTTAATGATGATGTTGACATTGATATTAATTACGGATGAAGAAACTTCCCGGTTTTTTAATTTCTTATGGAAGAAACCGGTCGAATCTGACTGCGGCGTCCAGGATTTTGAGAAGAACAGTGAGTAGACAAAGTAAAAAGACATCAAGCGTATTGCAGAATTAACTTGTCTCTCAAGTAAGTAGAAGAGAGCAAATCAAGTCCATGAGAAGATAAGACACTCGTTTACTTGGGGGTAGTTGGAGTAATGAGCCAATTGCCAAAGATTTTGTCACAAGTTGGGTTAAGCTGATGTAGAGAATACGAGGAGGAGATGTGGATACGTATGTGTTGTAATGTAATGTGGACCAATGGCACATGTGGTGAACCATTAAAAGACACTATTTGACAGCCAGAAGAAGCTTAACAAAGATGTTGACAAAAACAAAACAAAAAAGAAAAAGCTCAAGAAAGATTCTTAGAATGATTCTTCTTTTTCTTGGCTATATGTGTGGACTAACACAATGTGTGCAGTGCAGACTACAGAGTACTATGGGCCTTAATTTAAAACAAATAGGGCTTTGGCCCATAAGTGACGTTTTGGCGGGAAAGATTGTGCAATTGAATTTTACAGGGTGAAACCACTCGATATAATCGGACCGGAATAAACCGGGAGAGAATTTAAAACGGCTCTGTTTTCTAATTTTGACCAAAACTAATTCTCTCTGTCTCTAACAGACAGACACACATGCAGAAGAAACACAACCATTTTTTTTTTTTTTGTGAGAAGATCATCATCAAACCAACTCTAATGGCGTCAATGAGACTCGTGTTTCATATGCTCCGTCGCTCCGTCTCCATCGCGATAACTCTCTTAAAGAGTCTAATTTGGTGTATATTCGACAATGTCGATTACCCGATACTGATCAAGCTCGCCGATACATTCTTATCTTTATATTTCCTAGTCTTCTGCGACCTCCGACCAATCACCGTCGATCTAAACGATGGAGAAACCACATTACATTTCTGGATCTCCGGCCACCGGAAAATCAACCGGCCTAACCTCGTCATGCTACACGGTTACGGAGGGAACTCGAAATGGCAGTTTATTCATCAGGTCTCAGATCTATCGAAATCGTTTAATCTGTTCATCCCCGATCTCGTTTTCTTCGGGAAATCGTACTCGAGAAACACCGACCGGAGCGTCGAGTTTCAGGCGAGGAGTATCGTCGGAGGTTTGAAGAGGCTGGGTTGTGGTGGTGGTGATGGAGGAGAGTTTTCGGTTTACTCGATCAGTTACGGAGGGTTCGTAGCGTACCGGATCGCGAAAATTTGGCCGGAGATGATCGAGAGGTTGGTGATTGTGAGTAGTGGCGTTGGGTTTACGCAACAGCAAAAGATGACGGAGATGAAAAAACACGGCGGAGATGTATCGGAGATTCTTGTTCCGAGGAGCCCGAGAGATCTAAGGTTGTTAGTTAGGGTTTCCATGAATACAGGTCTCAGGTTTCTTGACTGGGTTCCAGATTTCATCCTCTCCCAATTCATCGCTGTAAGCTCTGCCTCTTTACTCGTTTTTGTTTTGTGTATTTATGATTCTGCCCCCTAAATTATCTTTGTTTAAAAATTAAACCAGAAGTTATAAAATTGCAGAAAAGCCCTTAATGTTCCAGTTTTTTCTCAGGTGATGTATGAGACAAATCGACAAGAACTTGTTGATCTAGCTAAGAATTTGCTGGAGAGAGAAGAAGAGAAAGAGTTCTTTGCAATACCACAGGTAGCTAATCAACTTTTTGATCAAATAAAACAGTTTGTTTAGCTGAATAATACTTAATAATAGAATTATTTATATTGGTGTTAAATATTCAGAAAACGTTGATCGTTTGGGGTGATAAGGATCAGGTGTTTCCTTTGGAGCATGGACGTCGTCTGCATAGGTAACTAGTTTAACACTGTGATGATAACAAATTAATTCGTAGGGATCTCTCACTATATTAAGTCTGTTAATTATAAGTTAACTTAGTAATATGATTATGTGATCTTTTTGTCACAAACAGGAATTTGCCAAACTCAAGTTTAGAGGTGTTGAAGGAAATTGGACACGGTGTGAACATAGAAGCACCAACTACTCTTAACAATTTGATTCTCTCGTTTGTTTTAGCTGTCCCCTAACTTTTGTAAACTAAATTTACATAACAAATATATTCATAAAATAATATGATCAACAAAATTTTCAACTGAATGGGGAAGTAGCAGTCAAAGGCTGAGAGATTACGTGCATTAACATAACATCCCAACAAAACTGCATAGTCTAATCATAATGCTTTGGGGTTTGGGGGTAGTGAACTTGTATTCCAAGTTATTGTGCATAGTCCAGAAATTGATATTGTTGGTTTGCCCCCAAAAAGAAAAAAAGACAAGATATTGACAAAGGAGTCGAGCGTTACATACACTGGAGACATTGGTGGCGTTTGCATTTTCTTAGGTAAGAACGAAGAGTTTTGCGTGAACGCGAGCATGGGCACCCGGGCCTTATAAACCAAAGTACTCTATTTACTTCATCGACCACCATCATATGCTTATCGCTATGACATAACGGCCCACACTCTTCATGAAACTCGCAGGGCAATCCAAATAAATACTCGTTAGTGTGAATTAAAAGGTGTTTAAATCCAATCTAATAAAACTTTGAATAATAATTTAAAGATTTTAATTATCCATACTCTATATGTTAATTTATCTGACCCATATTAGAAAAAGATCCTTTATAATATACTAGTAAGTTTAATATATAAAAGGAGTAAAGAATAAAAACAAAAAGTTACGGGTCGGGTCAAAATAAAATCGCTCCAGATGTCTGACAGTGGCACAACTTTAACCTCCATAACTCTGCATATTACAGATGCAGAGTGAAGTAAGTACAAAAATAAAAAAATCTTTATTATTTTTTTCCAAAAGGATTGTTTATATTATAAAGAGAAAAAAAAAAGATAAGAACATTTATATATATTCCCCTCAAATCTCTCTCTGTCTCAAACTGTTTGTCTAGAGACGACAAGTAGATTCCTTTTCTTTCTTTTTTTCTTTGCTTTCCAATAATTGTCATATTATTTTCTCGAGAAGAAGAAAATATATATTTTAGATTCTTGTTTTTTTCCCGAGAAAAATAAATCTCGATTTCCTCCTCTCTGTCTGTGGTCACCTCTTCACGGAGTTTGTTTTTTTTTTTTTTAATTTCCAAAGGTAAGAAATCGAATTTTAGAGCAGAAAAAATCTAACTTTGGTTATTATTCTTTGTATGTAATCAAGCTTTTAGGAAAAAAAAATCTTGCTTTACTTTTTTTGTGTTCATAGATATGATTCTTTTGGTTTCTGGGTCTTATAAATTTACAGAATTTTTATGAATCTTATGGAATCGGTTTCTACTTTTGTTGAGATTATCTCACTATATAGGTGTAAGGCTACTTATAGAACAGATACTACTTACTTCTCCTTTTTTTTTTTTTTAATCTATATATAGATCTCCTTTTCCCTGAAAACGTGTTTGATGTTTTGTCCGAAATTGAGGTTTCTTGATATTGAAATGTAACTGAAAAATATATAGATTTTTTTTTTTCTTTTTTTTTGTATCTTTTGCTTTGTGTGATGTGAGATGAAGAGCTTATAGACAAGGTCAACGGAAGAAGAAATAAACACTTGTTAAATGTGAGTTTTTTTTTTTTATATTGCCTAATATTAAAAGGTATGCCTTTTGTTGTCTGTAGATTTGAACAAGAGCAATCAAGATTTGAGCTTGATGGAATCAAGAATGGAAGGAGATGTGTATTCTGGATTTGGAGAGAGATACCAGATGGACGGTAAGGTGTTGCAGAATTTTCAGAAGAGCTTTGTTCAAGTTCAAGACATTCTTGATCAGAACAGGCTTTTGATCAACGAGATCAATCAGAACCACGTGTCCAAACAAGCCGATCACTTGGGTAGAAATGTTGGTTTGATAAGAGAGCTCAATAACAACATCAGAACTGTGGCTAGTCTCTATGGAAATCTCTCTCATTCTTTCGCCAGATCGGTCGATGCTTCATCCGAAGGGGAATCTACTGGGACACTTAAATCTGATGGCAAGGCCAACAACCAGAAGAGGTTTAGATCCGGGTAACAAACATAACAACGACAAAATACCAATCTTGATTATGTAGATTCAAAAGCTAATTTGATTGTGGATTAAGGACTGATGACAATGATGTTGTTGTCCAAGAGTATGACATTAATATTGTGTGTTTTCTTAAGTGTCTTCAACAGTTTTGCTTCTGTAATCTCTGTTGAATTGTTATCTACATAATGTTTATGTCTTTGATTCTGAGATGATAAAAAGATGTTTTTCTTTTCTTTTTAGAATTGACATATCTCTGAAATTCAAGTTCTGCCACCAACTGATGCATTTATGACAAGTTAATAATTAGACCTTTAATTTGGACTAATGTAATTTCTCTAATCATCTTTATGCACTTCAAAAGGGTTATCACAAATGATGTAGTGTGTAAACCATCTTTATGGTGTAGAAACTCAAAATTTAGCAATGTTCATATGAACCCTTATTAGCTTGAAATAAAGGAAGTAAGATTGATACTCAAAATCAAAGCAACAAAAAGAAAAACATGAAAGTCTGATGTAGCAAAAGAAGATGATTATCCTCGTTGCCTTTGTGGCTTGCATGATCCTTAAAGTCAAAAAAGACAAGAGAGACTTGTAGTTTTAACTTTAGTTAGGTACCTTTTTATTATTCCTTATCTTTTTCTCTATTTTTACACAAGTTTCAAGTTGTTTTACAACACAAAGCTTCTTTCCCCCTTTCTTTATTTGTTTCATTGGCTTTTGGACAAAAGAATCCAGCCAACTTTTTTGGTTCACTTCACCTTTAATATAATCAATTTCTTGGCTCACATCCATTTTCCTATCAATTCTCTTTTGGATATTTTATAAAAACTATAAATGGTAGGGTCTCCATACTCTTATTCTTTTAAAAAAAATATCATTCTGGCTATGATACTCATGGTCATGGTTGCTCCTTACAGAGAATGAAAATTAATAACTTTGATGAGTACAAGAGACGGAAAAACTTATAATTTTAAGACTTTCAAAGGTTCTTGAGACCCATATCAAAATATGAAGGAAATAATTTCTTATCTACATCAACAGAAAGATGTTGTAGAGATAGACAATGATGATGTATATAATATGATGTTCTCTTCAACTCCACTTTGAAGCTTACTACTTCTTTTCACTCTGTCTCTGCATCACTTTCATCAATTGTCCTTCCCAGTCGGATACAACTTCTTCTCCATTCGTGACCTGACCAAAACAGAAGAAGCCTCATCAGTGACGAATGTTTCTTTGTACTGGATGCAGCATCAATAAAACATGAACATTTTTTTTTCCCTAGAAAAGCAAAGAATGTTATCTACCTCAAATATTAACCCTGTTGGTGGGATCACACTTAGAGCTTCAACACATATACGAGCAGCATCTTCCTTGCTTATGCTTCCTTTAGCTGCAGCACCCTGTTTCATTCATAAAAATGTTGTTGAAACCAAGCAGTGAAGTGAACACATGTTTTGTCTTGTCAGTTTATCAAAATATGAATAATTTACGGCGCTGAAGTTGAAGCCTTGATTCCCTCCAGGACTGCTCTCCAGCTTGCCTGTTCTTATGATTGTGTAAGGGACATTCGAAGATATAACAGCGTTTTCATCTTGCTCGGCCTGTTTTTTCGCTTTGTTATTCATCATAGCTTGAATTCCACCGCTGTTTTCATAAACAGACAACTGCAGCTTCATTAAACTATGATCTCAAAGACACAAGACTCTAATCATCATAATATGAAACCGAAAATGACAAAGGTAAATTCATGGCCATGTATGTATCCTTACCTGAGACAAGAGAACTGCATGTTTCACACCTCTTAAACTCTTGACATTAGATAGGAAACCTTCCTAAAGGAAAAATTGAAATCTTCAATTCAATGTTTCAGAAAAATGTACAAGTCGACCAATACGAATGATGAAGGGTTTGGTTAAAACATACAGTTGGGGATATGATTGCACCAACGCCTTTAAAAGCTTTCCTTAAGAAACGCTCGTCGCTTGCATCTCCAGACGTCAACTTCACAGTTTGAATGTAAGTTGAATGTTTGTCAAAGTAAAGAGAAACAGAGACAGAAGTAGGAGTACTAAATATATATTCAATGAACCAACCTCAACATAAGCTCCAAAGGCATCTAAAGCCTTTCTTTTATCCTTCACAAGTGCTTTAACTCGACTCCCTTTCACAATCAGTTGCAGTATAATCATCTACATCAGCTAAGAATTCACAGTTCTCAGTTTCATCTTGCTGGCACCCAATATATAATGGTTCTATGAAAGCCTGAAACACTCACCTGACCCAAATCACTGTCTCCATCCGTTACAAAAACAGCGTCTTTGTCTCCATCAAGATCATTATCTTCTTCCTCTGTTTTATGGATTCCAAATGACATTGAAAAATGCAGATTAGAGTTATGTTCAAGTCCTGAGATTCCAATTTAACCCTTTTAGTGATACCTTTAAATTCATCGTCGTCTCCACTTAAAGATCCATCCTTTGGCCGAAGTTCAGGCGCTCCATACCATTTCCTAAGCTTCGGACCGCCTTAAAACAGACACAACAGTACGGTAAAAAGTCTCAATTTTTTTGTTCGGACGAAAGGCTTCATCTTTAAGACCTAAATTCAATTTTCCATGAAATTGAAGATACCTTCGATATAATCGAGAATCTGATCGACAAAACTGATTTTCTTCTTAGCCAAACAACGAACAAGACCACGTTTTCCAGATGATATCACAAAACCACATTTAGCTTCTGAGACCTGATTCGAAGTAGAGAAGAGTAACGAAGGTCCTTGGCTGAGGAGAGATGAAGGTAGAGAAGTACCTGCCATGTCTGCAACTGCAAAGATAAGGTTTCGTCCTCACCTTACAGTCCTTACTCTCTTACCACTACTGTGATCTCCTAACGGTTTCTGGTAACCCTCTAGACGAGTAAGAGGTTCTCTAAACCTGGATAATTTACCAAAAAGCCTTTCTTATGATGAAAGAAAGAAACATTATTGTGGCGCTTTATCTCCGTGCCAGGTGTTTAAAGTCCAGGCCTTACATTTCCCAACCTTATCTTTAACGTTCTTCTGCTGATAAGATAAAGGTTGAGGCTCTCCTCTTAGTTTGATAAAAAACGTTTGCTCGCTAGTTTCTAATTCTTGTTCACTTTTTCCTTATGTCTTTGATGGGTCTCTTTATTTATAAATGTTTTCGTTTGATTAGCTCTATACTTCTTTACTCACTAGTAATATTATGATATGTAGCTAGTAATTCTTACCTTGAGATTGCATTAGTAGTTCGTTCTTTGCTTTGAGATGTTCGTTCGAATGCTTTAACTCAATTAGAATAGGAAACATTTATCACAAAGATTATTCATCCGACTATATCTTTCTTGATTTTGTTGTTTGCTTCTTTACTTCGAGGAAGCAATGACATATTCTTTTTTAAAAAAGCCTTTCGATTGTTGCTAGTTTTCTTAGCATTGATCCATCTCTACTCAATCCTTACACCAGATTTGATGGTATAAAAGGACCCAGTGACAATGCTTATAATGAAAATGGAGTTTATAGTCTCTCTGAACTATCTATGTCCAAGTTCTTGGGAGTTCGGAAGCACCTTACATCTTTGACTTTTGATTTGTTCTACTATGCTGATGGTTTAGAATCTGTTTGGAAATTTAAACTTTTCTATGACAATTCTTTTCGATTGCACTTTCAGATTTCAGTTGAAGATTTACGATGTGTTTGATGCTAACTGCTCAGTTCCACAACATTGTTTAATATACTCCAACATAACTAGTACAATGGTAACTTGTTGCTATTATTGCTTACCCCTCATGATGTGTTTCAGTGTTTGTGTTTAGTTGTTCTCTTTTCAAGTTCCCATTGTTGCTGGAGAAACAGGTCTCCTCCTCAACGCATGCAACCTCCATTCATACATCATAAGGAAGAGTAAAGTCCAAAATGAGATTTGAAGGATCAAAGGACATTGTTTAGCAACAAATGCTTGTAAATTGTCTGTATAAGACCAAAGTTGTTTTTCATACTATACTATTAGTATCATGTACAAAATTTCCTTTATCCTTGTTAAATGTTTACATTGCGCTAAACAATGGAAGTTTAAAACTAAAAAGTAAAAACAATAATTAAATCTGGACTAACAAAAATGGTGAAGCACCCACCTCAACAACTCCATGAATGTCTCATTGCTGGTCTAGATATGTTACCCGACACGGCGTCCTTGCACACGTGAACCAAAACGGTACGTAGTTTACGCTGTTTTGGCATATTCAGTTATTCGCAGCAGCTATTTGCTGACGTGGCAAAATCGGACCAAGCTGCATAACATACGGATTCCAAATCACAAAAAAATAAAGATTTGAGTTAATAAAACGCTTTGGAGTCCGAGACCTGTTAATTTGCTCTTAAGCTCTGGAAAATAAAAAGCCTAAAGAGAGCCAAACATAAAAGCAGCACCAAAAAATTTCCCAAATTTCTTTAACCTTTTTCTTTTTTGCTAATCCGAGAAGCTTCTTCCTCTGAAACCATCGAAGACGAATCCACATGACTTCTTCTCCGACGCTTCAAGGTTACCGGAAAGTATAATTCAATCGGTTTTTTTGCTGTTTAATTGTCACTCTCCGGCGAGAAAAACTTGGTTTCCTGTGGTAAGCATGATAAATTTCATCTTTTTTTTTCCCGTACTATGAAGCTTTGATTTCATTCTTTATCTGTAATCTGTGTTTTATTGGAAATTCGATGGAATACACCGAAACTTTCAATTAATTTTTATTGAGAATGCAAAAGTCTGTTTTTCAATTCTGAATTCCTTGGAATTTTTAAGATGGGGAGTTCAAATTGTTAGTCTTTTTAGTTTTTGTATACTTAGTGCTATCCTTTCCTCTTCAAAGGACTCACCTTTGTTTGATTATAGATACTTATCACTGTAGGACTGCTTTGTTTTCGTCTGATGCTGTTATTTTGACATGAGAATCCGTTTTTGATAATATATGGTTTTTGCAGAGATGCTGTCAATTGGTATATGTAAATTTGCAAATAGTAATCTGTTTGGACTACACATTCTGTATATATTTCTGACCTCTGTGGACCTTTGATCAAGTTATATATAGGACTCTGGTTTACTTTTTCGTTTATCAATTTATTTCCTTGTTCCAGATTGTGTGTGTTTAAAGTTGGATTTGCTATGGGAACTGTGGTTGGAACTGTTGAGGACTGCAGGGAGATGTTTGAAGGCAGTGCTCAGACAAGGATCACACCCTTTTCTTCATCAAATCAGATTGGAAATCCTGTTGCCTATAAGCTTGTCCGGGTATGGCTTATAAAATTGATTCTTTTTCAATGTTTCTCTTATAGTGGTTCCTATTGTTTTGATATTGTTTCTAAGATTTCCATGTGTGGCTTCTTACTTCTGTGAACGTCTTCCAAGTTATAACCAGCAAAACAAAAATTCTAAGAGGGTTTTGCATCTTCTGGAATTGGAAAATTTATCTACTATGATTATAGGTATTAAGACTTTCAAAATCTTATGTTAGGTTTATGGAAATGATTAGGTTTCAGGAGATGGGAGACTAGTGCCTGCAACCGATGAAGAAATTTTGGAGGTCAATGACGCGGATATGCATATTGTATCAGATGCTTGTCAGACTGTAGACTACCTTGCAACCGATGAAGAAAATTTGGAGGTCAGTCAGAAAAATATGCATATTGCATCAGATGCTTGTCAGACTGTAGGCTACCTAGCAACCGATGAAGAAAATTTGGAGGCCAATGAGACAAATATGCATATTGCATCAGATGCTTGTCAGACTGTAGGCTACCTAGCAACCGATGAAGAAAATTTGGAGGCCAATGAGACAAATATGCATATTGCATCAGATTCTTGTGAGACTGTATGCTACCTTTCAGCTGAAGGGATGCCTTCTGGGTTGTCCCAGTTTGAAAATTCAGAAGGTTCGGTTCCCATAAGTCTTTATATGTTGAGACTCTCTTACTTAAAATCACATTCATACCGATTTCTGTTATTGATATATGCCCAAATGTGCATATGTCTCTGCGGTTTCCACATCTGCTGTCTTATATTCAGTTATTGTTTACTTACATATGGGTTTATCTTATTCTTTCAGCTATGAATTCAGGGTTATTGCAGTCTGATAATGTGCCACCGTATATAGACCAGGTAAAGTTTCGACCTGAGGTCAGTCCCACTTCACAAATGTTGAAAGTAGTAATTTCTGACAAACTATCACTTCTACAATTCGATTCTTAATGTTTTAATGTCAAAGTTTTCAAAAGAAATCTGCCGCAAGTCAGATGGCCATACTCCTAAGATTTTGTTTCATCTTTGAGATCTTTGCAGTATAATGGGGAGATGCTGCAAAAGGTCGAACAGGATGAGAGGCTTGGCAATGTACATGGATCTCAGATGCCTTCTACCCCTTCAGATGCTAACATCCAGTGTTCTAATGAAGACACATTTAATAAGGAGGATCAAGTCCACCATGTAGCCTTGTTGCAAGAACCCATTTCTTTATCATCGAATGTTGAGAATGAATGCAATATGAATCAACCTGATATGATTGAACCATGCTCAAATGCAGCAGCTAGTCCCAAAGAAACTGCATTGTCTGTAACTGCTCAAAAACCTGATTTTTCTAGAGTTAGAGGCGATATCTGCTTAGACAATTTACCGATCAAAGCACTTCAAGAAACATTCAGGGCAACGTTTGGCCGTGAGACAACTGTTAAGGACAAGACTTGGCTCAAAAGGAGGATTGCAATGGGACTTATTAATTCTTGTGATGTACCAGCAACTAACTTGACAATAAAAGATAACAAGTTAGTTGGGAATCAAGAGAAGTCCAATGTTATGACTAATGTCATTAGCAAGGATATGGGTGATGATGTAAGAGCTGCTAAACCGAAAGATGCGCCATCGAGTATTGATCATGTGAATGCTTCTGACCACTATTATGCTAGTGAGGATTATTCCAGTGAACAGAGGGCTGCAAAACGAGTTAGGAAGCCTACACGAAGATACATTGAAGAACTATCTGAAACAGATGAAAAACAGCAAAATGACAAGTCAATGATTCCATCAAAGGATCAGAGGTTATCCGAAAAACCTGAGGTCAGGTCTATCAGTGTCTCCTCAGGGAAGAGAGTTGCTGTCACCAGGATGGTATCTCTTGCTGGATCTGAAATTGAGGTTCCATATGTTTCTCATGTCCGAAGAAGCCGTCCAAGAGAGAACATTATGGCTCTTATGGTATGTCTCTTTGTTGCATTACACAATCTCATATTCTTTGAACTGAAAAAGGTTTCCAATGATTTGGCCCTATTAGGTAGTGCCTCTTATCATGTCACGTGCCAAATTCTATGTCAAGAAGCATAGATGGGGAATATAAGAAAATGAGTGATCTACTTTTTGACCATTATTTTGATTTGTTGTTAAGTCAAGATGTAAATTTTTTTTTTTGGTGATGAAGTCGGGATTAATTTAGGATAATGCAACCTTGTGTAGGATTGTCATTCCAGTTGTTTGGAAAATAGAGCTAGTCCAGCAGAGAGTAACTTCAGTTTGACCCCATCTCAGTTAAACAATGAGGTTGTGAAGCAAGATTTGGTGGTAAAGTCTGCTTCCCGACCGGTCCAAAAAGAGGTAAGACTTATCTATCGTTTTGGTTCTATCCATCAAAGATTATTTTCAAAAAATATTTTGAATTTTCTTAGTCTCCCCATCCTCATTTCCTACTTTGCAGATATTAGAGATGGACTAAGATTATATTTCATTTACTATCTATCTGCTATTTTAGATAAATTTGGTGTTCCAGAAATATGACATAGTTTCTCGTTGCATTCTTGGTTTGCAAATGCAGGTTGCTACAAGTCACAAGAACAACGAGGAGCCTATTCTGAGTGAGGTTGATCAAGACACAGAGCCAGAGCACATAGACTCCTCTGGAAATAGCTCGGATGACAATAATAACATGGACGTGACAATCATGCAAGGTGGTGCACTTAGAAGGAAGCACCATCGAGCTTGGACTCTGTCTGAAGTTACGAAACTAGTCGAGGGTGTATCAAAATATGGAGCTGGGAAGTGGTCTGAGATAAAAAAGCATTCCTTTTCATCATATTCATATCGTACCTCTGTAGATCTCAAGGTAATTAAATGTATTAACTCTCTTTTTCATATCCTATCAATCAAGGCTTTGGATTAACCATCTTGTTGTTTTGTAGGACAAATGGCGAAATCTTCTGAAAGCAAGCTTTGCTCAGAGTCCCTCAAACAGCATGGTACCTCTCTATATCTTTCTCTCTCTCCTTAACTTGTAACTGCAGTTTTCCTTTGCTGAGAACTTGGATGTGCTTAGTTGTGTATATACTGCTGTGATTCCAGGGAAGTCTCAAGAAACATGGGTCTATGCACATTCCTATGCAGATTCTGTCACGGGTAAGGGAACTCGTGGAAAAGCAATCTCTGGTTCCACCGGTAAGCAAAGTTGGTGGAGATAGCAACAGAAGGGAAAGGGAAACAAGATCCGACATCTTGTAGCTGAGTTTTTTTTTTTTTGGTTTTTTTTTTTTTGTAAAATAGCAACCAAAGTAAGGGAGCGACATATGTGAGATATGATGACAGTCGTAGACTTGTACTTGTAACTTTCTAAGCAAGCTTTGTGGTTTATATATAAAAGGAAGGTACTATTAAGTTTAGTCTTTGTGTCTTGAATTGGTTTCTCTATAATATATATCCATGGAAGTCATGATGATCTCATGCCAACTCTGCCTTTGACTCTGACTTGAATTGGGCCTTTTTGTATTCGATCCATTACTTCTTGGAGATGATTCTCGACCCAGACTTGTACGTATATCTCTTGCTTTCTCTAGAACCATCCTCCAATCGTCATCACTCATCAAACTTTTGTCCCTTTTCATTCAAAAGCTTCCATCTTTTATGGTTTTTTTTGCTAAATCTGCAGAGACATCGCTCTGTTACTACCGAAAATCATAAGGAAGGCTAAGTTGCATAGCCTCTTATGTAATCTGCATTTCGTAGTTGTTTGATCGGTAGCTAAACAGGTGAGCTTTCATTTGCTGGATATGTTACTTATTTTAGCTTTATTCTTTTTTTGTGGAAGTTCTTTAGATGATGCATCTCGTCTTGCCCCTGTTTAAAGTTTGTGTCTTTTTGAGTCAATGGTTAAGTGGTGATTTTATTATGATTTTCTTCTCAACAATCAGTCTGATTATTGTTGGTTTTTTTACATGATGCTGGAACAAGTGAAGATACCTCAATCCTTACCTATCTTCAGCAATTGGTAGCAGTATATTCTGAAAGTAAAATGGGGATCGTCGAAAGGATTAAAGAGATTGAAGCCGAGATGGCTCGGACACAGAAGAATAAAGCTACAGGTTTCTCTTTACATTACAGAACGTGTAGAATAGAAATGAAACTCATCACTGATTTTCATATATTCTCTGTAAAGAAAGCAGAAGAAATGAAAATATTGTTACATATGATTAACAGAGTATCATCTTGGTCAGCTCAAGGCAAAGATTGCGAAGCTTAGAACACAGCTGTTAGAGCCTCCAAAAGTAAGGCAACTTTTATGAAGAATTTTTTAATCACTATTGCCTCTGCATGTAACGTTTGGGTTTTGTTACTAGGCTTGTCTACGATGTCTATAGCTGTAGTATACAAACTTCTGCTCCATATAGCTGGAGCAGAGTTCAGATTATATGTTCAGTATTCAACTCTGATCTTGTTTTTCAAATGTCATGCAAATCTACTTAATAGGGTACCAGTGGAGGTGGAGATGGTTTTGAAGTTACAAAGTATGGCCATGGACGTGTTGCACTTATAGGATTTCCAAGGTCTAATCTAAAGTTAACATACATCCATGTATATCTATTTGTTTTAACTTTGGAGTCCCTCACTTGGATAGCCAAATTTGGGTATGTGGCTGTGATTTGTAGTGTTGGGAAGTCCACACTTTTGACAATGTTAACGGGCACACATTCTGAAGCAGCGTCATATGAATTTACAACGCTTACATGCATTCCTGGAGTAATTCACTACAATGACACCAAAATTCAGTTGCTTGATCTTCCAGGGATTATTGAAGGTGCTTCAGAAGGAAAGGGACGAGGGAGACAGGTTTAAATCCAATTGATTTCTTATCGTTTTTACTCAATAGTAAGGAATACGTACTATGAAATGAACTTAGATTCAAACTGTTTGTTTCCCAGGTTATTGCTGTTGCAAAGTCTTCAGACCTTGTGTTGATGGTTCTTGATGCTTCAAAAGTAAGAACTATGGTTTTGAATAGTTATGCAAATTGTTTGATGCTTATGTTTTTTCTTTTCTCGCTTTTGCTATTTTTATCTTACTATTTCCTCTTCCAAAATCGTTTAAGAGTGAAGGTCACAGGCAAATACTGACCAAGGAACTTGAAGCAGTGGGTCTGCGTCTAAACAAAAGACCTCCACAGGTAAAACTTATCTTTATCAATGGTCTCCCTATCTATCTTCTAATCTAAACTCTTAATTCTCTTTCGCTTCTTCTGCTTTTTTCCTTTTATACCTTCTGTTGTGCTACCATTTTGTGGTGTTTTACTCTCTCTGTTTGAACAGATATACTTTAAGAAGAAGAAGACAGGGGGAATTTCTTTCAACACTACTGCACCCTTAACTCGCATTGATGAGAAGCTCTGTTATCAAATTCTGCATGAATACAAGATTCACAATGCTGAGGTACTTGAGTCTACCTTTATTCTATTTTTTTTTCTTCTAATCAGCTTCGAACAATAATCATTCCTAGCCTCTCTTGCCCAAAAGTCAGGAGTAGAACCATATAACTTCAAATCTTAGATTTTGTTGCTTCGCTGAAAGATGTACAATGAGTTTAGTAAGGAATACTGCAGGTTCTATTTCGTGAGGATGCTACCGTGGATGACTTTATTGATGTTATTGAAGGCAACCGAAAATACATCAAGTGTGTATATGTCTACAACAAAATAGATGTTGTTGGAATCGATGACGTTGATAGGCTAGCACGGCAACCAAATTCTATTGTTATTAGCTGCAATCTAAAGGCAAGTTCTATTATATTGGCAAGCGTAGTAACTAAAGAAATAGCCAATACAATGTATTTCTAGGCTTCTAGCTTCGTCATAATGGTATGAATCCTGTATAGTCTGTAACCTGTGAGTATCTATACTCGAACACACTGATCTAAATGGTATATGATGGTGTTGCTTGAAACAGCTAAACTTAGACAGACTACTTGCAAGAATGTGGGACGAAATGGGACTTGTGAGAGTTTATTCTAAACCTCAAAGCCAGCAACCAGATTTTGATGAACCCTTTGTCCTCTCAGCTGTAAGTATAATATCCTTGACACTGCTCGTGTGGATTTTTAGGCTTACTTTTTATAGATAAGAATTTGATTACCATGGGTTACTTCACTATAACATCTGTGGTGGTCAAATTTTATTTCACCTTCTGTTACTTCTCAGGATAGAGGTGGCTGCACAGTTGAAGATTTCTGTAACCACGTCCACAGAACTCTGGTGAAGGATATGAAGTATGCACTGGTTTGGGGCACAAGCGCTAGACACTACCCTCAACACTGTGGTCTTTCTCATCATCTTGAGGATGAAGATGTTGTTCAAATCGTCAAGAAAAAGGTACACAAGCACAAAATTTATTCTGATCTCTGTCTCGTGATGAGCATGACTTATCAAGTGATCCTTGTCGGATATTTAGGTGAGAGAAGAAGGAGGAAGGGGACGGTTCAAGTCACACTCAAACACACCAGCTAGAATTGCAGACCGAGAGAAGAAAGCTCCGCTTAAGCAATAAGGCAGCTAATCATCCTGATGATTTAAGACAGAATTCATGTGAATTTGAACCATAACTTGAAGAATAAATGGAAAGTATGTTAGTCACCATTTCATATGTAAACCATGTTCTTGGAAAACGCCTTTCATGTCTAGAAGTGAAGCTTGTCTAGAAGTGAAGCTTTAATCTTGGTTTCATATTGACAAGAGATACAAACATATTGTTTCAGAAACATTAGAAGTAAACCATAAATGATCCAGGTGGTTAAACAACGACATTTGTAGTCTTGAAACTAAATCTTTTAACATTCATATGTAAAAAGATAAACAGAATTTGCTTCTGTATCTATATTCCGTGTATGTGTTTCCTGGGACCAACAAGCTGTTGAAGTGATTAACGGCATGATTGCTTAGCCTCTCTGACTCTTTGCCCACATATGTCTCCCTGTTACTTGAGCTGGTGGGTATAGATCAGTCCACTGGTTGCTCAATGGATCTGAACCAGCACTACGCCTTACATTTACATCTCCGTTGTAAGACATGGACTGTTTCTTCTCAAACGGTGTTTTGGAACAAGAGGATGATGACCCTGATCGTCTCTGCTTAGCTTTGATAGATTGTGTCAGGCTCATGTAGCTCGGCTTTTTGTAGTACCCTCCTTCTTCAAGGAAACTTCCCGAGAAGGGAACTGGGGATTGAGATGTAGATGATGACTCAGAACTCGTGACAGATGATGACATTGGAGGAGGTCTAGCTAAAACTCTGGTTGTTAGACTGTTCTTCCTGACCTGAACTGTGTCATGTTCAGACATACTGCTCTCGCTTTTCCTTGCATTTTCTGATGAGTTTGTAGGCCCTTCCATCAACCGACCTTCCCATGGCCTGTCTGCAACCCATCGGTCAAGCCAATTCCAACCCGGACTGCTCTTGCACGACCCGTTATTCTTTTTAATACTCCCTTGTTTGTTCACCTTGGCGCTTGGACTTGGACACGTCCTCGGCTATCAAAATTTGAGAAACTAAATAAACACAAATGGCTCTGAGCTATTAAATTCTCAAAATGTAATCTTCCTTTGAGTCCATTACCTGGTGTGTCAAGGCATATACCATAGCCCTCTCCCTCTTGATTGCTCCTTCTTGTCTCATTTGTAACTTCGTTCTCACTTCATTTACACTTCCCGGGCTATCACACCAACCCTTCTGAACAATACATCATTACAAAGTATTTACATTTAGTCTCCCACGAGTCCCATTTAATCTCAGAATTCATATCTGATAATCATTACCTCAGCTTGCTTTGCAGGATCATCTTTTAGTTGATCAGAGGGCTTCTGAACCTCCTGTACATCTGAAGGCCCCCTGTTGCAATGAGCTCGTACACGAGCTTGGACTCGAACAAGAGCTTGCATACACCTTAGTGTCACATCAGCTTGTTTCCGGACTTGCCTACCACGGAATATTGCCTGAATCCTCACCACCGCCTTCAGAGCTCTCAGTGCTTGTCTTGCCTGTTAAACGCATCCATAAAAACATTCACCACAAAAACTCAAGAGTAGAAAAAAAGAAAGACCTAATCAAATGAATTAACTTAGTTTGAGAATCCATTTAAGTGTTGACGATTGATTAAAGTTTCTAACTTTGTAAAAGAATTGTATACAGATGCTGCTAACTTAGTCTTAAGGATCCATTAAGTAGTGATGGTCTTAATTCTTTCGTACTTCTATGTTCCGTATACAATCATTTCTCAGAATCATAGTGTGAAAACCAATGAGAACAGATCACTAAACCAAATGAGATTCAAGCAAAAAGTTAAATCAATTTTTGAAGAGTGACGCAAAGAGCTAGTAATATAGTCACAGTGACGAACCAGGAAAGCTCGGAAGGCGGCCTGAATCCGTGTAGCAGCCCATTCTCGTTTAACAAGAAAGAAATCTTTCGGTGGAGCTCTGATAACAGCAGCAACAGCGGCCGTGAAAGAGTCGTCAGCAGAGAAAGACGGCGGATCTGAGCCCAGTGAAGGAGTCCCGTAACTACCACCACGGCTCTTGAAACCCTTTGAGGAAGAAATTAAGCTTTCTGATGAAGTCCTCCACAGCTTCCATTTCTTCTTACAGTTCTTATCCTGCTAACAACAAAAGAATCAGCTACTGAGAGATGAAAACAGAGATTTATCAACGAGTGTAAGAAAAGGAGAGAGCTTTTTCTAGAGGTTTACTTGATCATCAGTGATGGGTTTTTTGTTAGTAATCAGAGACTTAATCCAATTTCCAGAGCCACCCATTTGCTCAAATTTTGAAACCTTTCTTCTTCAAAATGTGAAGTAAAGTTGAAGACTTTCACTGGTTTTGGAATCAGATCCGGAGGAGAAAGGTCGATTCGAGAATATATCTGTTAAAAAATTCTCTCAGGGAGAAGAGGATGAAGAAGAAGAAGAAGAGAGAAAAAGGTTATGGGAATATTGGTGGCCTGCAGAATGAAGCAGACAAAAAGTTTGCAATTGTTAAAAGAAGAGCAGCATTTGAAATTTGAAATTTTTTTGGGCAAGCAAGCAAGGAAGACCAAAAAAAAAAAGAGAAATTTTTATTTTTTTAATTTAACGGTAATATTGACATCTCGCTTTCGTCGTCATAAATGTATGACTCGTACGTCGGAAAAATACATTAATTTTATCTTCTCTCATGCCTCGCGTGATAATAATCTTCCTTTATTTGCGCTAGGTACATATATATATAGATATAATTATGAAATGACCCCTTTATTTCTTGCGTCTTAGTTTTTCACTCCGTAACTCTTTGTAAACAATCAAAAACAGAACAAAAGAACAAATAACACGATTGTAGCAGTGGCCAGTGAGTATTATTCTCTTACAGACTCCATTATTTTGTACCTGTTGTAATGAGTTTTCTAGTATCAGTTATAAGGTTTATAGACTTTTAGAGATACATGAGTGACGTATCTCTATTTCAGAGAATTCTTGATATCAATCACGAAACGGTACTTGATGTCCTTCTTCACCACTCTTTCAAGAGCTTCGTTTACCTTTTGAATTGGAATCACCTCTATGTTTGGATAAATCTTATGAGCTGCACAGAAATCTATCATTTCCTGAGTTATTTTGGTACCTCCGGTTACACTTCCCGCCAGCATTCTCATACCTGTCCATACATCTTTGGTTTCAGCATCTACAAGAGTGTGTAACAAAAATGACTCTTTTTTTTTTTTGGAAAAAAAAACATACCAAGATTGAGATTGGCAGGACTGATTTTAATTTCACGTGGGAAACCAACCAGGACATAAGTTCCAGCTATCTTCAAGAGAGACATGTAAGGATCAAAGGCATGATCACCAGATGCTGTATCAATGATAAAGTCTAGAGATTTCTCTAGCGCCTGCAAGAATAGATCATAGATTCCCAAGTTAAGTTTTTGTTTCCATTCCTGATGAACACAAGATTTCCAAAAACTTCTCTTTCTACCTTCATCTGGTCATGGTCAGACGAGATAACAAAATTGTTAGCTCCCAGCAGACTCAAAGCTTCTTCTTTCTTGGAAATGCTGGTGCTAAAAACCGTCACACTGAGTCCAAAAGCCTTGCCAAACTTAACTGCCATGTGGCCAAGACCACCTAGTCCAATTACCCCTAGAGATTTACCAGGTTGATTCATATGGTGACGCATCATAGGGGCATAAACCGTGATTCCAGCACAGAGTAATGGTGCAGCTGATTCCAGGGGATAGTCTACAGGTATGTTGTAACAGTACCTATTGTATTCAATATATCAAACACAAGAAAACTAGTACTGAGAAATCATTTGCTTCCTACTACAACTAAAAACTCTTTAGGCATTCATAAATTTCAAAAATATGAAATGGCAAGAGAAAAACCTCTCATGAACAACAATGTGACTGGAGTAGCCTCCTTTAGTAACAGAGCCATCATGATCAATGCCATTGAAAGTAAAAACTTGCCCTTTTGCACAATTAACTTCTTGTCCTTCGTTACAGTATTCACACTCCCTGCAGGAGTTAACATAGGTTCCAACACCAACATGGTCTCCAACTTTGAATCGATGAACATTAGACCCAACCTTAGTCACTATTCCAGCAATCTCATGCCTTGCAGAAGAAAACCACTAAATAAATATCAATTCAACCAAGTAAGATGAATAAATGATCAAAAGTTTGGTTTTTTAAAACATACCCAGGAACCAAAGGGTACTTGGAGTCTCCATGTTGGTTCTTAGTCCAAATAACATCAGCGTAACACACACCGCAATGTGTGATTTTGAGTGAAACATCGTCATTTGTAACAGACCTGGATCAACATCGTGGTGTCAAATCAAAGAATGAGTGAAGTGGGATCACTAAATCATAAATCAAACCTGCGCGTGATTGTGTGGGGAGAAAGAAGACCAGATGGATCTCTTGCAGCCCAACACATGCACTCGTTTTCCCCACTCTCTGAAGAAGAACTCATAATTTCAATTCTTTCTCTTTACCTATAAATTCAAGGATCGTCTACAATCTTCAAAACAACAAAATGAAGAAGCAAAACTGCAAAGGCGAATTCAATAGCGTCGAGAGAGCATACCAAGGAGTCGCGTCTTCTTCTTTGCTTCCTTCCGGAAAAACAAAAAACTATCAAAGACGGGTGCGTGTCGGTGTTGATCTGATCAGAAACCGATCACAATTAGTGTGAGCTAATCCTTTTTTTTTATTTTGATTTTGCAGTGATCAAATGATATATCTGGGCCATGATGGGTTTTTTGTGGCTCAGTTACAGACAAAAAAGTCCATTATGCCCAACAAAGACCCATTTTATTTCCACAAGTTTGAATTTGATATATAAGTTTAAATTCATTCATAGAATTTACTTTCAATATATGAAATCTTTACAAGTACATTTTCGAACATGAATTTCATATATTCATATTTCCAACTTAAAAACACTTACCAATACACTAAAACCAAATCTATTTAATTTGATAAAATCTAATATGAAATCATCAGAGAATATCGAGTTTCTAACTAGTATTTAGGGATAATTCAACAAATAACACAATATCTTAAGCTGGATATATCTAATTAAAAATGTACAGTGTACTTGTAAAAATAAGGAAAATTTCCTAGTTTATACGGACAGAGTACAAAAAAGTACAAAACTCCGAATTCTCAAACTACCAGACCGGTTCGGTTCCAGATCCTGATTGTGGAGCCCACCTACTCTTTACATCTGACGGTCCACGTTAAACGCATCTCGTTTCGAATAAACGCCACCGAACACGAAATAGAGCAAACGCCACCGAATCAGGAACCTAAAAAATTGCGAAGCAGCAAAGATCATCTTGCAGAGACCAAGAACCATCCATGGCGGAGGCGGACCAAAACCGAGATACTTTATCATCAGGTACACACAAAGAACTATCAGATCTAATCATGAGTTATGCGTTTCTTTAATTCAAATTAATTATCTTCATCGTTTCCTTAATTATTACAATCAAATTACGCGTCTATTAATAGCAAAACGCCGATTGATAAGTCTACTTCTTTTTTCTTTTTCTTTCTTTGCTCTGTTTTGTCTCTTAATGGAATTCAAAAAATCTAAACCCCTTTTTTTTTTTCTACTGGGGTTTCAAAGAGGAGAAGACTGTGAAGTCGCCTAATGTGTTACAACGGGTCAATGACGAACTACAAGCAATGGGTCATCGTGAAAAGTCCAAGAGTCACCATCACAAAGAGACTCATGGAACAAGTGACGACATTGATCAGAACACACCAATTGATGATGTGAAAGGGCCTGGTTTCTTTCAACGCGTCAAAGAAGAGATCGAAGCCATCCTTAATGCTGTTACTCCCAAGCGTTTTTCCAAGAAGTGAGAAACAAAAAAAAAAAAACAAAAAAAAAAGACTCCAGAAGCTCAATTTCGTATCGTAATGTTGTAACTCTAATGTTGTTTTAGTTTTTGAATATGAGTTTCTTAACAAACATTATGAATTATGTGTGGTAGTTTGAAATTGATGAATGATCCTATTTACATACTCTTGCTAATGTCACAACCCAAAGGTTGGCCATGGTTCCAGTTTAGGTTAAACCGAGTTTCTTAATTTTAGTAACTTTGTGTTTAGATTATTAATTCTTTCTTCCCCTCAAGGTGGTGGTGGTGAACCAAATATCTGAACTAGTAAAATCATCTTCTGTCATCTTCCTCTTTCCTTTCTCATGTTTTTTCGAGTTCTCGATGGTAAGTTTTGATGCATGGTTTCATTAATTCTTATGTATTCATGAGGGTTTTCTTTAGAACCATGATGTGAAACACATAAATTAAGGAGCAGAAGATTATCTAAAGGAGAAAAAAAAATAACCCTATAGGCCTCGCAGACACGTTACAAAACAAATATCTACACAAAAGGATTATTTCTTGGCACTATGTTGTTGGAGTCGATATGCACAAATATCATTCAGCTTCTTTTTATTTTTCTTATTGAACGTTCGTTGTAATTTGTAAAAGATGGGTAAGTAGCACACCAAACGAAACAACTCTTTTGTTTTTATGAGAGTTGTCTTGTACTCTCATGGATGTGACGATGTGCCTAACTTTTTTTTCCCCACGATTTTGGAAAATGAACTACTCCGATAAGAAGGTTACAATCATCACCACGATGCCATTTATGGTTTTTCATTCTTCTTTTCACACCTCCCAACTTTGATACTATTTTTGAATCATCTTAATCACAAAGAATTGTGGGATACATATATAGCTTCAATTAGATAAATACTATATTATATAAATCTTGTTTCAGTTAACGATATTAAAACAATGGAGAGTGGTGAGACTATCAATCAAGCAGTTAAAAAAATGATACGATTTGGATTCTTCTATAATTGTACACAGTTTCTTATTCGATAACGTGTACAATATTATTAATGGTTAGCTTGATTTGTCGCATAAATACGGCGGGACCAAGTATAATTATATGATTACTACTACTAGATTCTTATTAGAAAAGGGAATGTACGTAACAGCATACGACACTTGTATTATACATAATCCGGTGGATATTAAAAACTTAAAAACGTTTATTAATAAGCAAAAAATATTGGGATTGAGAGTTTTATAAAACTAACTATAAAACACTACCAATCAAGAATAAACTGTATTTTATAATCTCTAAAGTCTTCGAAAGTTCATTACTCTTATATCATTCTTATTTCTTATATTACATACATCATATATTTGTCGCATTGAAACCCGACAGGCCCATATGAAAAAAATATTAAATTTACAAACGTTATTCTACTACAATAATACTACTACAACTAATAAATTAGAAACTTAACAATTTAGTAGTAGTAGAACTTATAAAATGATAATAATACGCCGGAAACTGCATTTTAATATATAAAAAGCGAATGGACAAATTGGCGCATTGGTGGTATTGATTGCTTTAGTCCTCCAAGCCGTGTGTTTTGGGATGCACGTTAAGAGGACCACCACGTTGATTTAGTAGTAATGTTAAATAGACCGGTTTTAAATTCCTGTTGTGGGACTCCTCTCTCTCTTTGTATTGTATTTGTATGTCTCTCTCGCTCTCTCTCTATTAGTATTAGTTACATCCCTCCACGTTTCCATCCTCGGGCGTTTGATTTGGGATGATGATCGGAGTTGATTCCGGTTGAATAAGTCATACAAATCAACGGATGCCATGAGCTGTTTGCCTAATTTGCGAGGACTTTGATCACGACATTACGTACAACGCCTAACTAGTCCAAATATTGTGTTCTTTTTTTCCACGAATATACATATATATATATATATATGTAGAGTAAGTTTTGGTTTCAGTCTAAGTTTTGATACTAGTGGATGATTTCTCTGAATTTACTAACATGAAAAGGAAGAAGCTTAATAGGATGAGGGACGTAGGCGTAGCAGTAAGAAATGAGATAGGGGTCCATAAAAGTCAGTGAAAATAGTTAAAAAAAAGTGGTCAAAATGTATATCGTGTGCACTGTGCAGATGAAAAGAAGAAAGAAGAAAAAAGTACAAAAATCGAAAAAGGTTATTAATTAGAATCATGGACGTGGACCGATCCCATGTGATTATCCCTTCGAACTAAAGTTAACTTGAAAGCTTTTTTTTTTCTTTCTTTCTTTCTTTTCTGAAATGACAAAACTAAAAACAAGACCTTAACTATTCCACGTTGACATAATTATACCAAATGAAAATCTTAACACATACTAGTAACAAAGAAATGTATAACACGTCGAAAAAAAAAAAAATAGATAACACAAAATAAAAGTCTATAACGCGTAAATACTGTACCACCATTTATATTCTATGTTTTTGATTTAAAAAAAAGAAGAATGAATACTACTTGAAAAATAGCATGCTAAAACGAGGGAATTAGTATTCAGTTAAAACCTATGATTTGGCTAGTGGTACAGTCGTTTCACTCATTATGTCGACAAATATGCTTTATTGAAAGTCAACATGACGTCTCTTTCTCCCAAAACTCTAATCTGATCCACCCTACATATATATAATTAATTGTTTCTAATTGCATTTTATTTTAAAAACCACCAAATAAATATACATAATCTATAAATACGAAACGTGTAACTGCAAAATTTCTATCTTATAAATATCTCTAGTTGGTTAGAACTTAGAAGAGTGTAACATCTACGTTGTTGTTGTTGTTGTTATATAATTTAATTCATGTTTAAAAAAAAAAAAACTCACATAGAGATGACAGATTCGTGGTGAACTGGGTCATATTATTGTACGTGTCATTCGGAGTTATTGATATTAGTAGACAAAGCTATCTTCCACTATAAACGAATTTATCACGTATGAACGATCGATCGATCGATGTATCCACCCGATATGTGGGAAAACAAAACAAATAAAATTGAATCGTACGTAGGTATTTTATCCTCTTTTATAAGTAAAGATATCCCTCGACGTATTGCTAACTTATCTTCCCTTCACGGAATAAGTATTTCCTACATCTCTCATGTTGCTAACCACAAAACCCAAACCAACTCGTTTCTACAAACGCCTTTTTCCCTTCTAGAATTTCCCTAGTTAAGTTTATATATTTGATGTTTTTTATAATATACGCATACAACTCTAATAAAATCCAAAAAAATATCAGTTTGATTAAACAAATTTTGTAATTCATTTACTTACAGCTCGAATATTTTGAGTATTACCCTTTTGTTTCTAACCGAAATCACAACATGTATATATATATATATATATAATTATATAAACTTCTAGAAGCTTTTTTCAATAATCTCTTTCGTATTACTTTTTTTGATTTTTTTATTTTAATTTTTTCATATCCTGATGGTGTAACGAGAAAAGAAACGGTGAGGATTGGTTGAACAACTCCCAGAATATATTTGCATCGTCGGAGAAAAGAGCAGAAAAAAGGTTGTGACAACGTCACCAGTCACCACCACCATGGCACCATCTCCTCGATCACCTACGTATTAGTATTTTGTTGAGTATCTCTCTCTCTCTCTCTCCTCTCTACAAGTCTATGAATCATCAGAGAGATACACCTTTTCTTTTCGGCAAATCATAGACCTACAAATACGATTTTTTCCTTTTTCTTTGTCGGGACAAAACAAGAACCTTTTTTTTTTCTAGTTCCTCTTAAGAAAGTGATATTCAGAAGAGAAAAAACGTCTTTCTAGTTATGGACTTTTGCCAAAATATTCCAATTTTTTGTACAATATGTTTTACTTTTATTCTTACTATATCAGTCCTTTACTCAGTAAAATACTCATCAAAAGTTAAAGCTACCTATTGTTGTAAGTATACATTTAATAGTTTTTTAAAAAAATTAACAGGTGATTCATATATTTTTGTTAGTATATGTTATCTTTTTTTTATTTACTGATTTGTTTACGAGGGTAATAATTTTTGACTTTAGTTTATATTTTCCTTTTTGAGTACTCTAATGTACTATATAAAACAACATTATAATGAGAATATAGTTTTTAATTGGAAGGGAATATAACTTATACTTGTACATTAAATTAAAAATCAAGATATTCTAGAAAGTAGAGACACTCTTTGTTTTTGAGGAAAATAACAATTTCTGAACAGTCACGCCTTCTTGATATATAAAAATCTTTTAACAAATTTATTTTTTTAAAATCAAGATGATAATGATTTAAAATCTGAAATCAATCTAAACGCGGTTTAATTACATTTTTTCCTTTTAAAAAATCACAGCTGGCTCATAAAAAATACCTTAATATAAATATGTATTCTTGATTGTCTTTCTTTACTTTACTTGCATAGCTCTATGCCTCTATCACAAGTTAAAAACTCTCTTTTTTGGTAATGGCATACGTATATTGATAATAACGTATCTACCAATTAGACTTTTTTTTTTATACAACTAATTGGAAAATCATTTGTTAATTAGATTATAGTTGAAGAGAGAGAGAGAGAAGACGTAGAAGACGAAGAAGAAGAAGAAGAAGAAGCAGACCCGAAAGTGCTTGCCTGCACTGTGTTTCAGATTTGCAGTCCTTTGATACCTAACCTACAAAGAAAAAAAAGTGTGAAATTTGTATAACATTAAAAAAAAAACAAATCTCTGTTTTTCTCTAAAACCCTTTCTCTAAATTTTCCATTTTTTTTTGGGTTTTCTCCTGAGAAAACAAGAGAGGACAAAGACAGGAGAGAGAGGGAGAGAGAGAGAAAGCTGCATTTTTTTTATTTGGGTTCATGGCTTGTTGATCTAAACCATTGCCGACAAATTCTAGGAGAATCATTCAGCTTCTGTACTGGGGAATGGGTTTATGTTAGTTTGTCATGTTATCAACAGAATCTATCCATCTCTGGTGTTTGATTCCTGGTTTGTCTCCTGATTCTATACTTGTCCGACAAATCTTCCACTTACCCCCCCTTGTCTGAAAACTCTTCTCTTCTTTCTGTGGGTTTTCCATTGTGCTTGGCTTGTTCTCCAGTTCTGGGATCTTGTCTCAGCTTTTTGTGTTTTTTGTTTTGTTTTTACAGCTGTCAAAATTGCGTTTGCGTGTTCTTCATCACCTCCTGCTTAATCCTTATCTGTCTGACTTTTAAGAATCGATTTGGGATTTCAAATAGTCTTCGTTTTTTGGTTTCTTGTGATAAGAAGGCAAATGTGTTTGAAATCATTTGTGTTTGGTAATTTATTTTCCTCTTTGGGTTTCTAAATTCATCATCTTTGATAGATTTGCAATTTATAATTTTTTTTTTTCATAGCATTCAGATTCGAGTCTGTTGACCAATTTTGAGTATGTTTTGGATTTTTTTTTTTTTTTCAAACTTCGTTTTGAGTATGTGACGAGCTTCCGAAATTGATGCTACTTTTCCGTTTATAGTCTTCTCGTACGAAGTTTGTGTTTTGGTGTTTGGGTTGTTTCAGTCTTCTTCTCTGCCATTTTAATTGACGTCTAAGAAAAGATCAAAACTTTGGATTTTTTTTTAATAATGGGTTTGTTTCATTCTTTGTACAGGGTTAATTCACTAGGACTATGACAAATAAAGCACTAATCTGATTTCTTGAGGAACTAGAGTGCTGGGTCCTGTTTTGAAAGCTCACATTTGGATTCTTGTTCTCTTGAGTTAAAAAAATAATCTTGAGGAATGGCTCGAGGTAGAAGAAGATCGAAGCTGCGACTAAGCCATCTTTATACATTTGGATGTCTTAGGCCTAGCACGATTGAAGGTCAAGACTCTCAACCAATCCAAGGTCCAGGATTTAGCAGGACTGTGTTCTGTAATCAGCCTCATATGCACAAGAAGAAGCCTTTGAGATATCGTTCTAATTATGTCTCGACGACGAGGTACAATTTGATCACTTTCTTCCCCAAGTCGTTGTACGAGCAGTTCCACCGTGCTGCAAATCTCTACTTCTTGGTAGCTGCAATTCTCTCTGTGTTTCCTCTCTCACCGTTCAACAAATGGAGCATGATTGCTCCCTTGGTCTTTGTTGTTGGGCTTAGTATGTTAAAAGAGGCTCTAGAAGATTGGCGTAGGTTTATGCAAGATGTGAAGATTAATGCACGGAAAACATGTGTTCGTAAAAGTGACGGTGTGTTTCGTCAGAGAAAGTGGAAGAAGGTTAGCGTTGGGGATATTGTGAAAGTGGAGAAGGACGAGTTCTTCCCTGCTGATTTGCTTCTTCTGTCATCAAGTTACGAAGATGGGATTTGCTACGTTGAGACTATGAACTTAGATGGTGAAACAAACTTGAAAGTGAAGAGATCTCTGGAATTGTCATTGCCATTAGATGATGATGATTCTTTCAAGAATTTCATGGCGACGATAAGATGTGAAGATCCAAACCCGAATCTCTATACCTTCGTTGGCAATCTAGAGTATGAGCGGCAAACATTTCCTCTGGATCCAAATCAGATTCTCTTAAGAGACTCAAAGCTTAGGAATACAACCTATGTTTATGGAGTTGTGGTATTCACTGGTTTTGATACCAAAGTTATGCAGAATTCAACAAAATCGCCTTCCAAGAGAAGCAGAATCGAAAGAACAATGGACTACATCATCTACACTCTTCTTGTCCTTCTTATTTTAATCTCTTGCATCAGCTCATCAGGATTTGCTTGGGAGACAGAGTTTCACATGCCAAAAATGTGGTACTTACGACCTGACGAGCCTATAGACTTTACAAACCCGACCAATCCAATCTACGCTGGGGTTGTCCATCTGATCACTGCTCTATTGCTTTACGGGTATTTGATTCCAATCTCTCTTTATGTTTCCATCGAGGTTGTCAAAGTCTGGCAAGCAAGTTTCATTAATCAAGATTTACACATGTATGATGATGAGAGTGGAGTCCCTGCACAAGCACGCACATCAAATCTAAACGAAGAGCTTGGTCAGGTTCATACTATCCTCTCTGACAAAACAGGAACGTTGACATGTAATCAGATGGATTTCTTGAAATGCTCCATTGCTGGCACTTCTTATGGTGTGCGTTCCAGCGAAGTAGAACTTGCTGCTGCAAAGCAGATGGCTGTAGATCTTGAAGAGCACGGGGAGATATCGAGTACTCCTCAGTCTCAGACTAAAGTGTATGGTACATGGGACAGTAGCCGTACACAAGAAATCGAGGTGGAAGGTTGCACAAATGAGGGAGGGGATAATAGCTATAATAATCGTAGAGCTCCTATAAAGGGATTTGGTTTTGAGGATATCAGACTTATGAATGGTAATTGGTTGAGGGAATCACAACCAAATGACATTTTGCAGTTCTTCCGTATCTTAGCTATTTGTCACACAGCTATTCCCGAGCTGAACGAGGAGACTGGCAAGTACACCTACGAAGCAGAGTCACCTGATGAGGCTTCGTTTCTGGCTGCTGCTAGAGAGTTTGGTTTTGAGTTCTTCAAGAGAACCCAGTCAAGCGTTTTGATCCGCGAGAGGTTCTCTGGTTCAGGGCAAATAATCGAAAGGTGAGAATAGTAAATATGTTTTATGTTTAACCCTCTGATTATAAGTTTAGCTGTTATTTGTTTGTTGGCATCCTGAGTAAGTAACAAGAAACATTGCAGGGAGTATAAAGTTCTGAATTTATTGGAATTTACGAGCAAAAGAAAGCGAATGACAGTAATTGTACGTGATGAGGAAGGGCAGATTCTTCTACTATGCAAAGGAGCTGACAGGTTAGCAACTAACAAGCAATTTGTCACAATGACTATATCAAGAAGGGTAAATACAGTCGATCATTACTGGTATCAACTGTTTTTTCCTTAAATTTACAGCATCATCTTTGATCGGTTGGCAAAGAAAGGGAAGACATACTTGGGACCTACCACAAGGCATTTGACTGAATATGGAGAAGCCGGGCTCCGGACACTCGCACTTGCTTACAGAAAGCTTGATGAGGATGAATATGCAGCTTGGAACTCTGAGTTTCAAAAGGCCAAAACTTCAATAGGATCTGATAGAGAGGAGCTGCTTGAGACGGGAGCGGATATGATTGAAAAAGAACTTATCCTTATTGGTGCTACTGCTGTGGAGGACAAACTCCAGAAAGGGGTATGTATCATTGCACAGACACACTAACGCCATGTTTTTATCTTGCTTATGTAAATTGAGTATCTTTTTCTTCATATGAAACAGGTGCCCCAATGCATAGATAAACTTGCTCAAGCTGGGCTCAAGTTATGGGTTTTAACTGGGGACAAAATGGAAACAGCAATCAACATTGGGTTAGAATCTCTGATTTATCTTGAGTTAAAACTAAAAATGGATCTGTAATCTGCTTTTATCTATTGCCTTTTATGAACAAATTACTTTTATGAAATGCAGATTCGCTTGTAGTTTACTTCGACAAGGCATGAGACAGATCTGCATAACATCATTGAGTTCAGAAGGAGGATCCCAAGATTCAAAAAGGGTATGCTAAAGGAATTCATGATGCATATTGCTAAAGCATTAATTGTAATTTCCTTCAACTACAATTTCGAACCTCACATTTATATGTCTGTTGATGTGTCAGGCTGTAAAAGAGAACATTTTGAATCAACTCACTAAAGCTGTACAAATGGTGAAGCTAGAGAAGGATCCCCACGCTGCATTTGCTTTGATCATTGACGGGAAAACTCTAACTTATGCATTAGAGGATGACATGAAGTATCAATTCTTGGCTTTGGCAGTGGATTGTGCATCAGTGATTTGCTGTCGCGTGTCTCCCAAGCAGAAGGCTTTGGTATATATATAACTTCCTTCCCTATTAATTTCATAGCATTCTTCCTTGACTATGCAACTCCTAAAACTTCATTTAAAAACAGAATCCTTAGTTTATCTGTTTTGCTTTTTCTCAAATACAAGGTTGTTAGGTTGGTTAAAGAGGGAACTGGAAAAACCACATTGGCAATAGGTGATGGTGCAAATGATGTTGGGATGATTCAAGAAGCTGACATTGGTGTAGGAATCAGTGGGGTTGAAGGAATGCAGGTTTAGTTTTTCTCTCAGCACCATGCATTTTCAAGCCATGTTTTCTTGACTATAAGAAAGTACATAAAAAATAGATCCATGTTGACATTTTTGCTGATCCTTCTTACTTTTTCAGGCTGTTATGGCTAGTGACTTTTCGATTGCCCAGTTCCGGTTTTTGGAACGATTACTCGTCGTCCATGGACACTGGTGCTACAAAAGAATAGCTCAAATGGTAATATATACTTCTTGTGGCCAATTTTATTACTCTTGCCTGTAGTTTGTTTCTAACATTATCTTATTCTACGTACAGATCTGCTATTTCTTCTACAAAAACATAGCATTTGGTCTCACTCTCTTCTACTTTGAGGCATTCACCGGGTTTTCGGGGCAATCAGTGTACAATGACTACTACTTGTTGCTCTTCAATGTTGTTCTTACCTCATTGCCAGTGATTGCCCTTGGTGTCTTTGAACAGGATGTTTCCTCCGAGATCTGCTTACAGGTATGCTATATAAATCTTCCTTAGAAAACTAAATCTTGAAATGCTATTTCAAATCTCTGCTGATCAACAACAAAAATCTATGTTTTATCCACTTGTGCTTGTGTAGTTCCCAGCTTTATATCAACAAGGAACAAAGAACCTCTTCTTTGATTGGTCAAGAATACTTGGATGGATGTGCAATGGCGTCTACGCATCTCTTGTCATATTCTTCCTCAACATCGGAATTATTTACTCTCAAGCTTTCAGAGACAATGGACAAACAGCTGACATGGATGCTGTTGGCACAACCATGTTCACTTGCATAATATGGGCAGCCAATGTTCAAATCGCATTAACCATGTCGCATTTCACTTGGATCCAACACGTTTTGATATGGGGAAGCATCGGTATGTGGTATCTCTTTGTGGCGATCTACAGTATGACGCCGCCGAGTCTTTCTGGAAACATTTACAGGATTCTTGATGAGATTCTTGCTCCTGCACCTATCTACTGGATGGCTACATTGTTGGTCACAGTGGCTGCAGTTCTTCCATACGTTGCTCACATTTCTTTCCAGAGATTCTTAAATCCACTAGATCATCATATCATCCAAGAGATCAAATACTACGGAAGAGATATCGAAGACGCGAGATTGTGGACCAGAGAGCGCACAAAAGCTCGAGAGAAGACAAAGATCGGGTTCACAGCCAGAGTGGATGCAAAAATCAGGCATCTACGGTCGAAATTGAACAAGAAACAGTCAAACCTCTCGCATTTTTCAGCTCAAGATGCAATGTCACCTAGATCATTGTAGCCTGTATAGTGTTCGGCAGGTCCTATTCTCTGATGCATTACGACTTTGGAGACAGGTCTTGAAGCTAATTTTTTGTGGAGAGTTTATAATAGAGTGAGATCATGTAAAGAGTAGCTCTGATGTTTTTTTTTCTACATGTTGGGTTCGAATTTTTTTTTCTTTTGTACACTTATACTTAGGTTTTGTGTATACACACACTTAGGACAGAATGCAAAAAACATAACAAAGAATCTTCCTTTGTGCCTCTTCTGTGCCTCTAATCATTTAATCGGTCATTTATATAACTGTTTATACAAATTATGTTAGTTAATAACAGTCACTATAACTTGGTTTCATTGTTTGTATCATTTCATAAAATTTCCACAAAAGTATTGTTTTATAAAGGTTTATAAATGGTTGCTTTAGTAAATAGGTTTCGTATCCACCAATTGGCTTTTAAGTAATGAAATCTCCCAACTGGTGTATCTGTTACTTTCTACTTTCTAGTGTGACTTTAGGAGTTGAAGTGGTTGGCGAATAAAATTATTAATATAGTAACGTTTATTTATTTTAATTAATGACTCTGGGCCGGGTTTGGCCAGTATGGGATTGAGTACGGCCCAACTACTCCACAATAATAATGATTAGTTTGCCGTGGAGAATAATAATTAGCGTATTGGTGCTTATTATGTTAGTATTGGTTTTCATATCTGTGTCTATCCCTTCCCTTTTGGGATATTTTCGCCGCGTGGATTGATAGATATGTCGACGCTCTTTCGCCGGAAGTCAATCGGAATCCGCCGCTGTTTCTTTCTTCTTTCCGTTTGATTTTTTTAATTTTATTTTTGGCTGTACTAGTAATCTCCTTACTCCTCAAATCCTCTGCTGCAATCTAGTTTCTGTTTTTGTTTCTTAATCGGTGAAGCTTCTGGGTTGTGGTGGCGGCTAGTCATCGGGTTTGTTTAGTTTAGAAGTAGTTCTAGGGTTTTATCAGCTTTCGATTTGATGGAGCCTAGAGTCGGAAACAAGTTTCGGCTCGGAAAGAAGATCGGCGGTGGATCATTTGGAGAGATCTATCTTGGTATGCCTCTGATTCGGATTCATCTCTCGTTTGTGGTTTCGATGAGTATAATATCTGCTTTTAACATGGATTTTAATTGTTCTTTTTAGGTACCAATATTCAGACGAATGAAGAAGTGGCTATTAAGCTTGTAAGTAATTTGTACACAAAACTGATACTTTTTTTTTTTTTTTTGTTCTAAACCATTTTTAGTGTTTAATTGAAGTACTTAGATCATTGAAGTGCAGAGAACCTAGTTTGGTCTACGTACTATCTCTTCATTAAATTAAGATTGAATTTTCTCGGAAAGTGGAGAGAAAGCTGTGATTGTGGTGGTAGCATCTGTGATTTACAAAGTCTTTTGTTATTGCTTGGTCTTTCTTAGCTTTTGTAGCTTCTCCTTTTACATGTTAAAATCGATTCGAATAAAAGAACTTGGTTTAGACGAATTAAAGAATGGAAGATATTTAATTGGCTATACACATCTATAACTAGTTACTGCATTTTTGTATTCTTGTCATGCAATTGTGTATTTAGTCTTTAGCGATTTAGCTGACTTCTTCTTTTACTTCATCTTGATTCCATTCAGTACCTACCTTGTAGTTTAAATTCAATGCTTTTGGTGGTGACGAATTTCTTTGTAGTTTAAATCTGGGATCAACCCGACTTTTCGTAAGAACTGAGAGCTATTATTGATTCTTGAGAATTAATGCTGAATCAATTCTTAGAGTCCACGACAAAACTACCTGCAACTGGTGGGCCCAGCCTATTGAAAATTTTGAGAAGTTTGTTGTGGCCTACAAATGGAGAATTATGAGGCTGACAGCTATACATATTACTACTGTGTTGAACATTGGCTGTTGCTTTTTTTGTTACCTGTTTGTACGGGTTTCTGACTGTCAAGTATGTTATATGATTTCCTCGTGTTCGCTTTCATATTTCTTTGCTGTTCTGTAGTGTGGCAGACTCATCTTACTTTGGCTGCATATATGTTCTGACGGCATCGTTTTTTTTTCCTTCTTTCAGGAAAGCGTGAAAACTAAGCATCCTCAGTTGCTGTATGAATCAAAATTGTATAAAGTATTACAGGGAGGAAGTAAGGAACTAGTTCTGTTCTTGTTTACATTTGTAGTTTATAATTTCCTTTTTCTTATCCTAGAGGGGCTGCTTTGCTTTCCTTGGTTTTAGCTGGCGTTCCAAACGTTAAATGGTATGGTGTTGAAGGGGACTATAATGTCCTCGTGATAGACTTGTTGGGGCCTAGCCTTGAAGATCTATTCAATTTCTGTAGTAGGAAACTCTCACTAAAGACTGTACTAATGCTTGCTGATCAAATGGTAGGATCCCGTCTATAGCCTGAAAATATTTTTTAGTTGAGTAAACATGTAAGAAATTTTTGTTCCTCTTGTCAGATCAATCGCATTGAGTTTGTTCATCAGAAGTCATTTTTACATAGGGACATCAAGCCTGACAACTTTCTGATGGGGCTTGGGAGGCGCGCTAATCAGGTAGCTGCTGAAAAGTATTGTTTGTAAGATATTTTTGTTCTCCACAGTTATTTGCTCAACGTGTGTTGGCTGAATACAGGTATATGTCATTGACTTTGGTCTGGCAAAGAAGTACAGAGACTCAAATCATCAGCATATCCCTTATAGGTTTGCCATAGCCCATATTTTCCTTGTCTCTCTGTTACTTATGTACTCCCATTATCTGACTGAACATACTGGACAATAAGAATAATTGGTTTGAGCGTGTGCTATGTTTACTTTGCTTTTATCTTTTACAAGCTTGTGTGACTATTGCCTAACTTAATTTTGAGGGTGTTTTAGGGACAATTAATACTTGCAATAGGCTTTGCAATGGGCTTATGTAGATATTTTCGCCTGTCTTAGTCTCAAGTCTTTTACCTGTTTGTTTGTTGAACTTTACTCTTTCTAGAAAAGTGGACCTAAGTTTCCTTGGATTTGAGTGTTATGATTGCTTTACCTGTGTTGTCGTAGGTCCAAGTGTTTATAGACAAGACAAGGTCTTTTTAGGTTCTCTATCATTAGGAGTAAGGTTTTTACTGGATTACTGTCGTTTTATTATTTGGATAGTCACTTACTCAGGAAATTTAGCTTATTTTCCCAGTTTTACAAGTCTGTATTAGACTAGTAGTGTATGGAAAAAATAATGATAATGTATTGCTAAGAAGTTTCAACATTGGGATGATTGCAGTATATGATGTATTTGAGTAGCAATTGTAATCCTAATATTTTGTGTCTCAGGGAAAACAAAAACTTGACTGGGACTGCTAGATACGCTAGCATGAACACTCACCTTGGCATTGGTAATTCCAGTTCATTTAGTTTCTAACTTTCTAATTGTTTAAAGAACGTAATTCTCGATAGTTAATGGGATATTTAATTGCAGAACAAAGTCGTAGAGATGATTTGGAGTCACTTGGATTTGTTCTCATGTACTTCTTAAAAGGAAGGTATGTACCTCTCTTGCCTTCCATGTTGGCATGTTGCTGATGGTTCTATATAGGGGGGTCTATGGGTTACTTATGTAGTTAAATGCAGTCTTCCTTGGCAAGGACTGAAAGCTGGCAATAAGAAGCAAAAGTATGAGAAAATCAGTGAAAAGAAAGTCTCGACATCTATTGAGGTAAAATAATGTTCAGATGCCTGTGTTGGTACTCTTTCGGTCTAATACTGATTCAATATTTTATTCTTCTTTTAGTCTTTGTGCAGAGGTTATCCATCTGAATTTGCATCCTATTTCCATTATTGTCGTTCTCTGAGATTCGACGACAAGCCAGACTATGCCTACCTGAAACGGCTTTTCCGCGACCTGTTTATTCGTGAAGGTTTAGTGCCCTCAATCACTTATGTTAATTCGATTTTTGTGAAGCAAATATTACATGAACCAGTCAATTTGAGTTTGCATCCTCTGCTGATATCTTAGGGTTCCAGTTTGATTATGTATTTGATTGGACGATCTTGAAGTATCAGCAATCACAGATTTCTACTCCTCCTCCCCGTCATCATGTAAGAATCGATTTTTTACTTTTCCCAATGTCACCGTCCTACATAAATTCTGCTGACTACATAGCTTTCTCCCAGGGTCCTGGAGTTGGGCCAAGCTCTGCCCTCCCCCCTGCCATTGCTAGTGCTGAGAGGCCATCAGGTGGTTACATCTATTCCGAGTAGTTTCTTTCCGATTTCAGTAGGCAGTTGGCTATGATCCTCTGTTCTACATGGATATGGTTTTCAGTTTTCACCCATCTGACGTGTTCTTTGGTTCCATCACAGGGGGCGACGAAGCTAGACCTTCTGGCTGGTCATCAGGAATCCCTAGACGAAGTTCTGGACAAATTTTTAACTCAGGAAGCTTAGCAAAACAAAAAGCACCAGTTTCAAGTAGTGATCCTGCAATATCTAAAGATGTAATGGTGAGTACTTAAATTACCCCCTTGTTACACGTATCCAATTCTTGGCTCATGTTTTGAAGAAATAAACATAAGACTGTAGGTCGATGAGACTCGGAAACGGGTTGTCTACATAAGGATTGGCAGCTGTACTCTTGTTCTTTCATATTAACACTGAGCTGTTTTTGTTGCTGACAGTTATCAAGCTCTAGCTTTCTCCGCGCAACTGGGTCATCAAGACGTGCTGCTGTATCCAGTAGTCGCGAGGCTGCAGTTCCGGGAACTGATTCTGAGCCATCAAACCCTCAAATCATTGAAGCTGGATCAGGCTCCAACTCAAAGACCCCTGTTGGTCGAAGCTCCCCTATCGTCTCATCTGAGATCAACAAACTATCATCACCGTCAAGGGCAACTACTTCAGTCATGAAGAACTATGAGGCTAATCTTAAAGGGATCGAGAGCCTGCATTTTTAGTTGCTGGGGACCAGTGAAAGATGCTTAAAACCCCGGGACAAGTGTAAATTAAAAAGACAAAGAAAACCTCCCCATGTTTTACGTGCATTTGTGTTCACAAGGGAGGGAGACTTTACTTGTGCCTGTAAGCACACTCTAATAACAAAGATAAAGAAAGACTCTGAAGAAGTGATAGCAGAGAAAGACAAACTCAAACAGGGAGAGATCAAAGAGTCAAAAAGACTTAACCCTTTTAGTTCCCTTTTGGTTTTTACCGTCCATTGTTGTTTCTTTTATCTTTTGTGCTTCAGAGGGATTTAAAGTGGTAAAGTGTATACTTGAGGCTGCAAGAGAAACCGTACAAAAGAAGGGTTTTTCTTTTTAATATATTTGAAGTCCTCTCATGTTTCACTGTTTCAGCGAATTGTGTGGGTATATATATATATATATATGGTCATTTTTGCTAGTAGAAATAGTGAAAGAAGGCTTTTATGATTGATGTACGGAAGCAATAATTGTACTGCTTTGCCTTAAAAGGACCTGAGAGTTGCAGCTTCAGGTTATGTCACATGTGCAGATGAGTTTTGAGATGACCTGAGAGCTGCAGGTTATGTCATACTTCATCCTTGATGTCTACGAATGAGAAGTATATTGTAAATGCGATAAAGGCCCTATATTGTATTTAGCATAGCTTAATAATTCAGCTTGATTCTCTTGTTGATACAACAATCATCATACGTCGAACAAGAATGAAAACATACAAGATCAATGGGAAACAAGGAGAAGAAGATTTGTGGTTGGATCACCACAGACCATAGACAGCATTTGAACAAGTCTCTTTGAACCATTTGAAGCTCTTCTTCATAGATCCCTTCACTCTTCCTTCAACACCGTACACATTATAAGCAGCCACTCTCTTCTTCCTCTGAATCTCTGCCTCACACAAACCCTTCAACCCTTTCTTCTTCGACTTATTGCTTCTTTTCGATTTACTGTTGGAGTCATCTCTCACCATTGTTGGATTCTTGTATGCGTTATAAGTTGATGTGCTGTAAGATCTCAGCATCACTGGAGGATGCTGGTATGTTGGGCTAGGTACTCCTGCTTCTGAATTGCCTCCATTACTGAAGCAGTGGTACTTGTTGGTGATGCAGCTGCTTCTGACCTCTTCTCTGCATGACTTGGATCTGAACATCTCCAACTTTGCAACAAAGCATCTAGAGATTAGCTCTCTCCTTTTAGAAAGAGAAAAAGGAGAGTCGCTTTTGGCTTTTATCTCCAACCTCTTTCTCTTCTGCTTTTTTTTGTCTCTTGTGATCTTTGACATATTTATAGAATGGGAGATAAAGAATCTTATTCATTATTTAGTATCTTCACTCATTCATTTTTTAGTATCTTTATTCATTATTTAGTACAGTAATTTATACAACCTATGTAATTAGTTTATCGATTTTTTTTTGATATATTGGTTTAGATAGTTATGTTTGTTACGTTAATGGTTTTAAAAACAAAAAACATTATATCGAGATTAATTACTAAAGTACCTAGTACAGTTGTATGTTTTTATTCAACCTAAGAAAATTTGGTAAGATCTCATGTCCTTTGGATTTACACATGGCCACTGCTAACTTCATAAATTCGAGGGAAGTTCTCTCTGGGGGTCGTCAACATTATGAGTCGTGTTATATATACAGTAAGTTTAAGGGAAGGAACCTAGAAACTCACCAAAAAGTCATATTAGTTTATGGAATGGAAAGTATAGGAGTATCCTATCTTGTAAGTCACGTTAACCAAAGTTAAAAATAATGATGAAAATTCTTAGATTGCCAGAACGCAAAATCATGTAATGAGTTCTGTTCTCTTTTTTTGTTTGCCAAGAACTATAAATCTAAGTAGTATCCCTGAAAACAAAGTATCGAAGCATTGAAAAGGTGCCATTTAAAGGGTAAAAAACAGCACTTTCTCAGTAAAAAACACAAAGAAAAAAAAAAGAAAAAAGGCTTCAGAGAAGATCAGCAACATTGCTTGGCAACTCCTCAACGACCACATTGTAAAACTTCTGAATATCAGACATCATTCTCTCATCATCCGTTGTCATGAAATTGATAGCAACTCCTTTTCTCCCGAACCTTCCACTTCTTCCAATACGGTGAAGGTAATTCTCCGGTTGGGTTGGCAGGTCAAAGTTGATGACCAGAGAGACTTGCTGAACATCGATACCACGAGCCAGGAGGTCAGTGGTTATGAGGACACGGGAAGATCCAGAGCGGAATTCGCGCATGATGATGTCTCTTGTGTTCTGGTCCATGTCTCCGTGTGTGGCTGAGACTGTGTGGTCACGGCTTCTCATTTTGTCGGTTAGCCAATCAACCTTACGCCTTGTGTTGACAAAGATGACACTTTGCGTGATGGCCAGTGTCTCGTAGAGATCGCATAGTGTCTCAAGTTTCCACTCTTCCTTGTCAACATTGACATAAAACTGCTTGATACCTTCAAGAGTCAGCTCGTCTCTCTTGACCAGAATCCTGACAGGTTTGTTCATGAACTTCCTTGTGATCTCAAGGGCCTCGGGTGGCATTGTAGCAGAGAAAACACCAACCTGAACCTTGGAAGGAAGAAGCTGGAAGATGTCGTATATCTGACAGAGAAATCAAATTGTAAGACGGATTTGATTAAACCAGAAAAAGAAAATGAAATTGTGAATAAGAGAATACATAAAACAAGACTAAACCTGATCCTTGAAACCACGAGAGAGCATTTCATCAGCTTCATCGAGAACAAACATTTTGATAGCATCAGCACGGAGGGATTGTCTACGCAACAAGTCAAAGACACGACCAGGGGTTCCAACAACAACATGAACACCAGACTGAAGAACGCGTTGATCCTCACGGACACTTGTTCCACCAACACAAGCCTGAGCCTTGACACCAAGGTAGTCACCAAGTGCCCTCATAACCTTTTCGATTTGCTGGGCGAGTTCTCGGGTAGGCGCCAAAACCAGAGCTTGGCACTGAACCAAACTGTAATCGAGCTGCTGCAAAACGCCAGAGCAAAAAGTAGCGGTTTTTCCAGTTCCAGACTGAGCTTGCTGGATCACATCAAGACCCTTGCAGAATGGAATAATTCCTCTCTGCTGGATAGCAGACGGCTTCTCAAAACCTGAAATAAGGATACCACTCACATTTAGATCAACAGTAAGCTGATAGATCACCACGAAAGCTAATATAACAGAAGCACAATGTTTTTGTTTAAGAGTGACATCAACTAAGCTTTGAAACAATCAAAAGGAAAACAAAAACATAACATATACAATGAAGGTATAGAATGCGTTGTCAAAGGAAATATCTAACTTACCGTAAGCATAAATACCCCTAAGAAGATCAGTCTTCAAGTCCATTGCATCGAAGCTATCGCAAACCTCATCATAGTTAGTGTAGAATGTTTCCTCTCCTTCTTCGCCGAGTCTGCAAAGTATTACACAAGTCAGTTCTTCTTGCTACCAATTTTGTTGTAAAGTGGATTCAGATATTAGATATGCGAAAATATTAACTTACATGGCATTCATCTTAGTATCAAACTGACGAGGATCATACTGGGTTCCATCAGGGGCCATTCCTGCCATGACTGAAGAAGCATAACAAACAATGAAATCGACACTGTAAGAAACCAAGATTTCAAGAGAGCAAGATTCACCCAAAAACATTCAATATATAATCAATCATACTCATTGTCTCAGATCCCAAAACAAACTCGTACAAAGACAAAGAGATTTTAAAAGAACAGATATAAAACAAGCAAAGAGAGCTAGATTAAGAGCAGAATCAAATCAAGCATAAAACACCTTCTAATTGTTTCTTATGATGTAACAAAAAATTTCATCTTTTCGTAAAGTCAACTGTATAATCCAAAGGAATCAACGTAATTTTAAGAATAAGACAGAACCAATGTAGCACTAATAAAACACCTAAATCTTCCTTGTACCAAATTCCATCTAACACGAGTCAGCATTGCACAGGAATGAAAGCAAACACGAATCAAACAACATCAAAACATATAATGCTCCTCCTATAAGCTCACAACGAGAATCCAAAAACAAATCTTACAAAAATGGGTAAGAGAGTTTTCAAACAAACCTGCTGTTAGGAAATTTGAAGAGAGAAAGATTCAAAAGAGACAACAAGATCTGCGCCGTGGAGTTGACAGAAGAACAAATTAAAAAAAACTGTTAAAGACTGCTCTTTTATAGTCCCACACCGTTCTCTGATTAACTTATACACGGTCGTGTTCTTCCTTTTCCTTTCTTTTTTAGGTTTACTTTTCAAAGTAGGAAAAGGAAATACATAAATATTTTCTTCTTTACCGATTTGCCCTCTAAAGAAGAAACTACATTTTGCTCTCTCCAAAATTAAAAGAAAAAGGAAACTTTTTATTTTTTAATTCTTTATCACTCGACTAAAATATATGTTTAGGATCACCCATAAAATATGTAAATACCATTCGGAAAAAAAAAAAAAAAAAATTAAAAGAAAGTATTTTCCCCAAAGGAGCCTCTGAAATTACTCACAAACAGAGAGACACGCCTAATAAGTTAATTTTTGTTTATATATTATCAACAACAGAACGTAGAACTAGAAACTGATGATGAGCTTCAAGAGACATGTCTCCTAGACGCAAGCCAAGACCACAGTCTCACCCCGAGAACCTGCAAAACAGACATTTAGTACTCGAGTTTTAGACATTCAAACCCGGGGATCTTTTTCTTGTTCTGCTTGCAAAGAATGAGAAAAGAGTCTGTTTTCTTTTACATTGTTCATGCATCTCATTAGCTATCACCAGGAGATGTTCGCTTCCTTCTGCAAGTTTAGTTATCTTCGCAAACTCTTCTCCTGCTACTCTGGCAATGTCTATTTTATTCTCTGCTTCTACTACTTTACAGGCGGCGGTTATTGAAGCTTCATCGATCATCTGTTGTGAAATAGCAGAAGCCTGATTGTTTGATTGCCGCGGCTTCACATGTGTCTCCTTTGGTTTTGGGGCTGGTGTTCTTGTTCCTGATGGATCGGGTATCTTGTAGAAGTTCTGTAACTGTTATGTGTTGGATTGAACAACACAGAGAAGATAAATACCAAAGACAAAGCATGAGAAGGATTTTAGAGAACAACATCCCTGATTATGATATTGATTAAGTGCTTTTGTTTATTTGGAACCATGCTTTATTGGCTCTGACAGATATGGACCACATAGTTGTAAACGCCACTTTACAAAGATGGGTTGGTTTGGAAATTTAAAAACGAAATGCAAACTCAAAACAAAAGTGCACAAAAAAAGTGAGCTTCAATACTTACAGATTTGAAGGTGCTAACCTTTACAAGTTTGCTCTGAGCTGCAAGCCTCCTCAGTCTTGAGCTAAGGATTCTTCTAAAATTTGGCGGTACTTCATGCCTGGGCTGCTCTTTCCACAGGAACCCATTATCAGTACTCAGTCATAAGGTCCAAAACAAGCCAAATGGGATAAAAGAATAATAGAGAGTGACCCAAATTGAAGTAAAATCAAGAGCTAGAACATTTTTTCAGATAGGCATAATGGACAGCTTTACGAAAGCTATCATCATACAATAACCTTCAACGTGCAGATGATTAGTAGTATAAGGAATCATAGGAAGATTGTGAATAGTAGTAATAAGCCATTTGTAAAAGTCAATGTAGATACAGTTTACATGTTCTGATAAATAAGTACCCCTCCCTCATATATAGATGGTAAATAATCTGTTCAGTAGTTTACAAAGCGAACACAAAGAAGAGTAAATAGAAATTTTTCTAACCTCAATGAAATGAAAAATGGAACTGACATCAGATCCATTTGCATCCGCTAATGACGAGAGAGCTTCAAATATCATCCCATCATACCTTATAATAGGGAACCACTAAAAGTTCAGCAATACATGAATTGATTTATTAAAGATTAGAGTTGATACGCTAGAATTTATGGAAATGGAAAATCAGCATAAGTTTCGGCCATTCCAAGCACGAGAAACAGAAAAGACAGAAAGACAAACCTGGGAGCATTCTTTGTATCCACCACAATGTTAAAACTTTCATCATTGATCAAGTCATTTCGCTGAATGGAAGGAACAGGGGGAATAATAGGTTTAACAATAGGAGGTGGATTAATGTTATCAACAATTGTAACTGGAGGTGGAGTGACGCCTTCTTCTTTGACTTTTATAGGCCGTGCCTTATAATTTGAACCTTGATTACCGGGGGGAACACTCAAGTTACGCCACTTATCCTAAAAAAGTTATGAAACACACATAATTACCAGATTCTTCTTCATACGGCTACCAAGTAAAAGAAATCCATTGCAAAATAGAGGAAAGTACTGCTCTTTCTACCTCAAAAATCTCAAGCTTGTTTTAAGTATTGAACACTTGAATCTTTAAAAAAAAAAAACAACTTCTAGGATTCATATCTAACTAGGAATGTACTAATCCTATGACCAATGAGAAGAAGCAATACTACAGACCAAGGAAGATTGCAAAATTATTCATAATCTGGATCAAACCTTAATGAACAAAGGTTACGAATTTATTCCCCAAAAGTTTAGATTTTTATGGATCTTAAACTAATCAAATACGCCCGAGTACATAATGCACTCCCGGGGTTAGTCTCAAAGTCGACTGGCTAGGTCAAATATGGCTCAAAGACAGTGGTTTTAAAGAGGTCAATGAAAAAGGAAAAACCTTTAGGTCGATGTTGGAGCGATGGATGAGCTGATCAGCGAACTCAGGATCCCGGAGAATATTCTTCCACTTTCCAGGACCGTGTTTTGCAATTCCGGCGAGTAACGCCTCCTCCTCTTCTCCCGTCCATTTTAATTTCTGGTTTCCCATTACAGCCTTGTGTAATTTAACCTTGTGCTCTCTCCTTCTCGATGCGTATGCTCTATCGGAGTCCGACGCCGACTTGTCGCCGGAGGTTTCGTTTGTTCTGGCTCTGCGGCACAAGTTTTAGTTACATTGGCCAAACAAAAATAAAAAGTTTCGATTTATAGTATCCGAACTTTTATGTTTATTCTTTAATCTTCCGAATTATTCTGTTTATGATCTCCAAATTAAAAACAAAGTACTTTTATTTCTTAATATTTGATTTAAATCCTTAATAGTTTTCCTTTTATTTCCATCTCTATTAATTTTTATATGGTCAACTATAGAAACCTAAATTAACCTACACTTTCATACATGCTTGGTTTAATTAATTAAATATTTATATTTCTAAATATGGAATTCGATTCACACAATATATATACTATTATTATTCATGTTAATAGAAAAAAAAATTCAGTATGATGCATTTTTTATCGTAATTTTAAAAATGTTAATAATAACTCTATTTACCGTCAATGTAGTATATATAAAACTATTTTTTGTGAGTAATAGTAAGTTTATATTAAAAAAAAAAAAGTAGAATAGTTTGTATGAATGATAAAATCACAATATAAACTACCACAAAAAAAAATTGTGCTTCACTGTAAGATATTTTTTTTATTTATAACCAATCTTATAGAAATTAAATGATGTTTGGTTTCTCCTCACGATGCCGATGGGCTACAGTTTGCAGGTATATAATTATGATTTGAAAAGTCCAATGTTGATTAAGGTGAGGTGGTGCAAAGTTTGTAAAAATGAAACTTATGGGGTGAAATCCGAAATACCAGAAAACAGTGTGTGTGGCAAGAGAAACCCGAATTTGGGTTTAAACTAAGAAAACAAAACAAATGGGGTTAAATAAAAAAATAACGCAACGCGAGTAATAAATAGTGCGAATCTGGTAGTGACGAAACATCTGGACTGAGTCTTTCCCTAAAAACCCTAAACATAGATTTAAGTTTTAGTTTGGTTTTCATTTCTACTTTCCGCAACCAACCAAAGCATCAGAGAAACACAACACAACACACCATCACACGTTTCTCTCTCTCTCTTTCCTCCTCCGTCGTATCTCCGTGCCGATCAAAATCCCCTAAAACCTAGACTTCTTCCTTCCATTTCATGGCGGCCAATAACAGATCCGATCACGGATCAGACGAAAACACACGCCTTTACAATCCTTACCAGAACTACGAGGTCCCAATCAACAAATCTCAGTACCTTTACAAGCTTCCTACCTCCCCTGAGTTTCTCTTTACGGAGGAGGCTCTAAGGCAGCGTAGATCTTGGGGTGAGAATCTCACTTTCTACACCGGAACTGCTTACCTCGGCGGCTCCGTTGCTGGAGCTTCTCTCGGAGTTATCACTGGAATCAAAAGCTTCGAATCTGGCGACACGACTAAGCTCAAAATCAACAGGATCCTTAACTCCTCTGGTCAGACGGGTCGAACTTGGGGTAATAGGGTCGGTATCATTGGGTTGGTCTACGCGGGGATCGAGAGTGGTGTTGTGGCCGGGACGGATAGAGACGATGTTTGGACCAGCGTGGTGGCTGGTCTTGGAACTGGAGCGGTTTGTAGGGCGGCGAGGGGGGTGAGATCTGCGGCTGTGGCTGGTGCCCTTGGTGGACTTGCGGCCGGAGCTGTTGTAGCAGGGAAGCAAATTGTGAAGCGGTATGTGCCCATTTGAAGAAGATGGTTTGCTGCTGCGAATGTGTGAGTCTAATTGGAAGACTCTGTTTTCGTCGTTGTTGACATTTTTGATAGGGGAAATGGTGAATTTGATAGGTTTCGTATGTCTTGGAATCATAAAAACGAAAACTTTTTCTTGGTTTCTAGAGGTACAAAGTCTGTATGTCATAATGCAGTTTCACTTTGAAGAATAACCTGCAAAACCTTTTTTTTTCTAATATTCATACCGATATGTTCTTACCGATTGGTAATTTAATTTGTTATGAGTGTTTCTGCTAGTTAGTGTTTTATGTTTCTGTTTGATCAATGTTACCTCTTCCTTTTTTTTTGTTAAGAAATGGATGTGTTGTATTGTATCAATGTTAGTTAGCTCTTCTTTCGTGTATTTCTTCTCATTTTGCTGATTGGGTGGTTCGCATCATTGTCCTCCTCTGTTTTCCTCTGCTAATCTGATATGTTCTGATATTAGAGTCTTAATAATCTCGTGTCTTTACTGTTCTGTTCTTACTTATAGTTTACATATCTTACACTGTGCTTATAATTCAATGCAGAGAGTGAGTATGTATCATACTTGATTCTCAAAGATCATATATTTATTTTCCTCTGGTTTTATTTCACCGGAATATCTCTTCTGCTCTAAGCATTCCATTTTGTCTCCGGGGGATCAGGTCACAAAGATTGCTTTTTGTTTTGTCTCTCGCAAGTCTCACTGATATTGAGTAATAAACATCCTAACCTCCTCTAAGCTCTTACAATGAAGCTGTTCTTGCTGAAACAAACAATGTCCTCAAATTTTTCTATATTCAGTCTTAAACTTTCATCTTTGCAGTTTACTTGGAATTGTTTGTTTGTTACTGTGTACCATCCAGCAAAACGACGATTAAAATGATTTTGGCATCGAACAAGTATCTTCCATTAATAAAACTTTTCTTTAATAGTAAGCACATGAACAAAACTAGATGCGTTTCATATACAGAGATATGGGAACTCCCACACACTATGGACAATCACCCCACTGAACTTTGGATGGAGCACAACGCATAAAAGACCAACACTTGCCTTTGTACTGGCGACTTGTATATGATCTTGGAGGTCGACTTCTTCTTGGTATGGAATGATTACTGCTCTTACAAGGAACAAGTTCTTTGTGGATCTTAGGTAGTGCCATAGTCAGCTTCTGGTTGATCTACGCCGGATTTCCATGTTTTTAGGGTCAATACTCAATAGGATTTTCTCATTTGATCTTCTCTCTACATAGCAGAGAAATTTATTCATGAACTGAGAAAGTTCGGCAGAAAACATTTGTACCTACTTTTGACACAAGATTCTGAATGATCTAAAACCCTTCTTGGTGTAATATATTGCAGCAAAAAACAATGTGTCGTTATATGTCTCTTGATAAGCTAAGATTTTAGATCCATCTTCAGTTATCGAAAATTTTAGATAATACTGGTATGCTTACTGTGAGAATGGTATAATTTCAGATCAACAAAATTATAAACCTTTTGTTGCCGGTTCTTACTGTGTGTGAAGTTTCCTAAAGTTTAATTTGCAGATATATTTCTCAGAAAGAACGGTTCTAAGAAACTAACCTGAGAAAAAGGATTCGGGGGAAGCATAACTGAATTATGAGCATGTGACAAATGAGGTGTTCTATCCTGGATATGTTCATGATCCTCTGTTGCAAACTCTCTAAGCCTGTTCAGAGTTGGCAACAGTACTGAAGCAAGATCAGGCCTGTCCTTTTTCCTCAGTTCACAGCACTGCAAAGCCAATTTAGCCAACTCCAGAGTCTCTTCTTCAGGCCATTCTGATACTCTTGGATCCAATATTTCTCTGAGCTTATTATCTTCAATTGCCATCTCTACTTTATGGCCTAAGCCCATTGCTGGCATGGCTGTTATGATTTGCAGAAGCACCACACCAAAAGAGTAGAGGTCAGATTTCACTCCAAGCATTCCGGTTTGCTGATACTCAGGGTCAATGTAACAAAATGTACCTGTTTCAGTGAGCCAAAGGGGAAACAAACATCAACACCGGTTCCATGTTTAAGACATTTAAAAGAGATGGATGGTAAGACTCTCACCGGCTGCAGAAGTCATGTAATAGTTACTAGAGGAATCAGTCACAGAAGGAGGTACCAAGCGAGCTAGACCAACATCACTGATTTTGCTAGTGAAATGTTTATCGAGTAGAATGTTTGCTGGCTTCAGATCACGATGAACTAGGGGCTCTGGTTTTGCCTGGTGAAGGAAAAGAAGTCCTGTGGCAATCTCAGCAGCAATTCTGAACCTTGCTCTCCATGACAGTGGAGTTGTATCGTTTCTGCAGAAGAGGCGATCTTCAAGTGTTCCATTTTCCATATACTCATAAACAAGACAACCTAACTCGGGACATGCACCGAGAAGGATCACCATATTAGGGTGTCTCATGCTACTCAGAACATCAATCTAGTGAAGAAACATATGTATGAGTCGGGAGAAGACAAATAAAAAAAAGCAACATAAGAATTTTAAATTATAGTTCACTTACCTCTTGTTGGAACTGTTTCAGTCCTTGTGTGATACCCGATTTCAAGATTTTAATGGCAACAGAATTGTAATAGAGGACAGCTTTGTAAACAGGTCCATAACCTCCTTCCCCAATCTTTAGATCATCAGAAAAACCATTGGTTGCATCTTCAACATCTCTGATACTGTAACGTCTGTAAGATACCTTATTGACCATTCTCTGTTTCTCCAAATTGGCTTGCATCTCTTGTAATCTTCTCTTTTGGCTCTCCATTTTCGCTATGCACTTTGCTATTTCAGCTGCTTGGATTGCAGACTGCCTTTTCTGCTTTTCCCTCTCAGACAATACTCTAGGCAGCTCTATTGCTTCCTCAGACCTTGGGGTTTCGATGGCTCCAGGTAGTTGAAGTTCTTGAAACTACATAATGTAATACAAGATGATTAGTTATCCACCACCTCGAAACTAACGAAACAACAATTGGCATCAACATGGAGCTAACAGTATCTTACGTTTTCCTTTTGGTCTGTAGTATCTTTGTCCTTCTTGAACTGCTTCAACTCTAGTCTCAGTCTCCTTACCTCTGCTTCAAGATTTTGATTCTGGTAAGACACCTCACAAAGAACATACACCATGTCAGTAGCATGTTTAACATTCTGCATATCCGAGACCAAATCTTGAGAAGTTTACCTGTTGTTCCACAAAATTTCCCGCAAGTGGACTTTCCTGTGCATCAGTTGTCCCAAAATACAGATTAAAACCAAGCAGCAAATGTTAGAATACTAAGAATCTGAATATCTGAACGTCTATTAGATAGTGTTGATATATAAACTACTAACCATGGACGTTGAAGAGATCGAGCTTCCGTTGGTGGTGGAAGTTGAAGAGATGGTGTAAGTACTCACAGTTGATACCACACCGTAACTGCCACTGTCAGTCTCTAACTGAGAAATCTCACTCACAGATTGTGGTGGTGAGATGCGAGGTGAAAAAGATTGGGATAAATCTGATTTTGGTATGTTGGTTTGTGTAGATACATGTGATAATGATGTCCTGTAAAAATGTATAAAAAAGAAAGAAAGACATTATTCACTGTGGAAACTAAAAGCATGGCCAATGGTTATAACACAGATGATGAGATTACCTGTCTGAATCACTTGAAATGGAGCTCATTGAGTTGTACAACAAAGAAGAGAGATTTTGTTGTCTGGAAAGTTTCTGAGGCTGACTCGCTGGTTTTCTTTTTAATAGCTTACCTTTGGACACAACAAAGACAGCACAAGTCTCTGGAGTCGTCTTAAGCAAAGATGTGGACACGTCTGGACTCTTAAACTTCCTGATCACAAAGAGAGAGAGATTGAACGTTAGCATTTTATATAACCACAGTTGAAAGGATGATATCAAGAATGGGAAAGGGAGAGAGAAAAGGAGAGACTTGAGGAAGGCGTTGCGTGCAGATGCGCCAACAACGATATTTGCGATGGAGTTCTTGGTCAAGTATTCAACAATAGCATTGGAGATGTCTTCGTCACGAAGAATTACCTCCTCTGTTATGATCTGAGAAAACGTGTATATACAATTAACAATGTGATGAATTATAATTAGCTATAATTAGATTGAGAATGATCCTATCACTGACTCCTTTCCGAGCGCAGAATCCTCTGAAAGGAAGAAAGAATTGATGCGCCTTCTCCTCATCGTCATGATGTAAATGATCTGCTCCTGTGGCTGCACAGATTTTTTCTATAGTTAGGGTTCTTTTGATTGTTGTTTCAATGAAAAGATGATGATGAGAAAAGATGCCTACGTTGAACGTGGAGAAGGACACATTGTGGAGAATCTTGAATGATATTTTCAACGGCCCACTTCAAAGCGTGTTGGCTGTTCTTGTCCATATCAATGGCGATGGCCGTGATTGGGCCATAGTACCCGGAGGTCCCTCTTACTGTTCTTCTTGCAGACATGTTAGAAAGACTTGCTTCTCAAGAAACCTTAATAACCTGCTTAATTGATAAGCAAACTAGCTAGCTATAATAATACTCACAGTTATATCTTGTCTGATCTTTATCACTAATTAACACCCAAAACCAAAATCGATTGTGTTGCTGTCTTTTTATCTGGCTCTGCAACTTCTGAGAAGAAACGATGAACAATAAAAGGTAACAGATTATAATAAAAGGTAACGATGAGAGGTAACAGATTATAATTAAAACGATGAAAAAAAAAAAATAATAATAATAAAAAAAAAAAATGGTAACAGATTATAATATTGTGAATGATGAAGCTTTGAGTGGTTTTGCGTTTTTGCTAAATTTGGAGGGTTTTTTTTGTCTTAAACAACTCAACAGTCTTGTGAAACAAACAAACGAAAAGGGTAATTTTCTCATCTCATCAACTTATCTTTAGAAATTAACTATTGGGATATTCCTGGTGCGATCGAACTAATTACAATAACAGTGTACCGTTTCGATGAAAATGAAATATGTTACAGTATTAGTTAGTTACTACAAATACATTATCCCAAATACGAAACTGACTATTTGTGTCTTGATAAGATAATAATGGGACAGCAATATGAATATGAAAAACTTCTGAACTAGGAAGAAGTGTGGACGTACGTACGTGTTCAATGTTCATTATTTTGCTTGTCCCGGATCAGTCTTGATAGCCACATGGTCGGGGTTAGAATTCGAAATTATTGCGATTATTTGACTAACAAAAAAACAAACACACGTTGCAGTTTCTGATTTACATTTAGCCAAACATAAAAATTTTATAAAAAAAGAACAAAGAAAAAAAGTAACGATGATCCAATAATATTTATTTTTTCCTTTTGGTTGTCGTCTTCCATCTTTATTTCTGTTTCGCGGTATCACCATGTCTTACACGTCTCTCCTCGATACGTTATAAGTTTTATAAGACATTATATATATAATTCCATAATTCACGATTGTGATAACTTATATATTACCTTAAAATTTTCGAAGAAAAAACGTATATTTTATAACTTGTTCTTAAGCTCTGATTCTTAATGTTATTGTTACGTAGACAGTCCTATTAAAGACAAACTCGTAAAATCATTATCAATAATCTCTTAATAAATTTTTGAGCTAAGATTTGTTAAAAATAGATTTTATATTAAAAAAAATTCTTAACAAATTTTAACTCTAAGATTTGTTTAAAACTTAATAATAATGATGGTTTAAGAATCCTTCGACACAATAAGTAAGAACCCAAATAAATTAAAAAGAAAAATATGAACAAAACATGAATTCAATATAAATCAGTTGATTATTGTACTATATGATAAACATACAAAAGATTTAAAAAAGTAGTATTTTACATCTAGAAGTTCAATATTACATTTTAAACATTTTCTATTGTATATATGGAAAAAGAAATTAAATCCGCTGAACATATATATTGTGTCAAGAATTCATTCATCCACATATCTCTTTCACTTTTGTTCATATTACTTTTTTTGTCTGTTCAGTTTAGTCTCAATTTATTATTCCATAAATATTATTGACACAACTAATAATATATACTTAGATAACAAAATAGTATTCATATATCAACATTTATAGCTCACTTATATATGTATATTACATTCATGAATCATGATTACCATTTAATATCAATATCCTTTTAAATCTACGCGTCAAAAGTTCTATGGATTTGAATAACTATTTTATAGACATATTTTTAAAAAAACTTCCGTTTATAACTCTATATATCTCTTGAACAAAACAAGAAAGAAACAAAAGAAAATCTATTAAAAGAAGCCAAATGCGGTCTCACTTCTATAAAAATAAATATTTTATTGGTAATAACTTTTTTTTTTAAATGACACTGGGCATGGTTTTAGAAGAAGCGAATCTTATTATAAAAACCATACTATATCATAGTAATAAATAATAATAGGAGTAAATAGGGAAAATACAAAAAAAGGAATTAATAAAGAATAACATATGTTGTTTGTTGTTAGCTGATCGACAGGTGTTGCCTGAAGCGACCTTAAGGAAAATAAGAAACATAAAAAAAAGGACAAAGTGTTCTCTCTCTCTCTCTTTCTGAAGAGCTTGTGTGTGTGTGTGTATACGTGTCCTTCTATTAAATCCTCCTTTTGTAATAAATACTTCTTTCTTTTTGTTTTTCTTCTTTGTCTATTAAAAAACAAAAAAAAAAGAGGGAATAAGAAACAGAGAGAAAAAAGCATACCACACAATATTCCCTTCTCTCTCTCTCTCTCTCTCTTTGTCTCTCGCTGAAGCAAAAATTTAGCTGGAAACGAGGGAGAGAAACAATCATCAACGGAGAAGAAAGCACTGAATAAGAAAAGAAGAACATCTTCTTTTTAATTACACTACTACAAACTTTGTTCTCATTATATTTGTGTAAGGCAATAGATGCGAATGTCTTTAGATTCATTCCACTGGTATGTAACTTCTCTCTCTCTCTTTTGCTTTCCTGATTTTTTTATGTTGTTTTCTCTGTGTGTGTGTAGTAATCGTGAGGATTTGTGCTACTATTATTTTTTTGAATCTCTCTTCTTTATCTTGTTTTTTTCTTTGAGCTTTAGTTTTTTTTTTCTTAAGAACAAAGTTTCAATTCATCTTTCTATTTCTGGGTAAAGCTTAAAAGCTTTTTTTTTTTTTTTAGATCCAGGCGAACCCATGTTCTACTTTGATTCTTCATGTCGAATTTGTTAGGGTTTTCTTGTGCTTGATTTCGCTGGGTTTTTTTTTCCCCTCTCTTTTTTGTGTGTATGTGTGTGAATTTTTGACATGCCAGTTTGGATAATGATTCGTGAGTTTTTTGATGAGTGATCTCTCTCGAATAGGGTGAAATTGAGATAAGGATTTGTGCCAAAGGAGTAGCTGCTGTTGTTGGGATTTGGGATCGAAGAGTGTTAAAATCGAGTTGGGGGAAAATACAGAGGATCCCTCGCAATAGATCCGTTCAGATCTGTTCATCTCCGCTACTTAATTCCCCCCTCTGTGTTTCACTATGCTAACTTAGTGTATGAACAAAGCGGCATTGGAGTCGCTTATTATAACTTTGATGGAGCAACAAGGATTCTTCAAGATCATGAAACCGTTGCTCAGAGGAATCGAAGAAGATGAATTCAATTAGTTTCTCCTAATTATAATACTTTCATCTTTCAAGTATTACAAAGAAATCGGTAACTGTGTGGTGTTGTGGGGGAATCTCTGATTTTGGGAGCTCATGGAAGACATGACTCCGGCGGTTGCAATGACTCTTAGCTTAGCTAATACCATGTGTGATTCATCATCACCTGTGGAGATCGCTCAGCTCAAGAATGTTACTGATGCTGTTGATTTGTTATCTGATTCTGACAATCAAACCTTTTGCAACGGAGTAGCTCAGGGAGGTGAACTGGATTTGATGAAAACTTTATCCGAAACGAAGAGCGGGTCTTCTACTAATGTTTTTGATGAAGACGATGTACTGTCTGTTGTGGAGGATGATAGTGCAGTCATAAGTGAGGGCTTGTTAGTTGTTGATGCAGGCTCTGAATTAAGCTTGTCTGATTCTGCAATGGAAATAGATAACGGCCGAGTTCTTGCTACTGCCATTATCGTTGGCGAGTCAAGCATCGAGCAGGTTCCCACTGCTGAAGTTCTTATTGCGGGTCTGAATAAAGATACAAATATAGAAGATGGTTCTGGTGTCACGGCTTCAGAGGTTGTCATTCGGTTGCCAGAAGAAAATAGTAGTCAACTGGTCAAAGGTAGAAGTGTTTATGAGCTAGAATGTATACCACTGTGGGGAACGGTTTCCATTCAAGGTAATAGATCTGAGATGGAGGATGCTATTGCCGTGTTACCTTATTTTCTGAAATTGCCTATCAAAATGCTTATGGGGGATCATGAGGGTATGTGTCCAAGCCTCACACACCTCACCGGTCATTTTTTCGGTGTTTATGATGGTCACGGAGGCCATAAGGTATGTGTTATATTCACATTTTCTCTCTAGTTTTGGTCAATGCACTTTGTTACACCTCTTTTGAATTCAGATAACCTTTTGATTTGAGATTATCTGTATAAGTCCGTATCTGTTAAATGTATGATGGCTTGTAGGTTGCTGACTATTGCCGAGATAGACTCCATTTTGCTTTGGCTGAAGAAATCGAACGCATAAAAGATGAATTATGCAAGAGGAACACAGGAGAGGGTAGGCAGGTCCAGTGGGAGAAAGTTTTCAATAGTTGTTTTCTAACCGTTGATGGTGAGATTGGAGGACAAATAGGCAGACCTGCTGCTGGTTCTTCTGATAAGATTCTTGAGGCTGTTGCCTCTGAGACCGTAGGATCAACTGCTGTAGTTGCTTTGGTTTGCTCATCGCATATAGTAGTCTCTAACTGCGGGGATTCAAGGGCGGTTCTATTCCGTGGCAAAGAAGCCATGCCCTTATCAGTCGATCACAAAGTAAAATGAGTTTCCTTTCTTTCTTTCTATTCAACAGTTTGCACACTCTAATGTACCGAGTTGATGAAGTTATTCCTTACCTCTTTCCCTTTCTCTGCAGCCAGATAGAGAGGATGAATATGCAAGAATAGAAAATGCTGGAGGTAAAGTTATACAATGGCAAGGCGCACGTGTTTTTGGTGTTCTTGCCATGTCTAGATCCATTGGTAAGCAATGCTTCTCGTGATGAATATTATTGCCTCTGTGAATAGGCTGATTGGTTTCACATGCACATCACAAAATATACCTTAATTATGTATGAATTTACCGCCCTTCGTGAAACATTAGATCCTCCGCGTTTTTTTTTTCCTCCTCTGGACATATGCAGGTGACAGATATCTGAAGCCATATGTGATCCCAGAACCGGAAGTTACATTCATGCCACGGTCAAGAGAAGATGAGTGTCTCATACTAGCTAGTGACGGTCTTTGGGATGTAATGAGCAACCAAGAAGCTTGTGAAATGGCAAGGAGACGGATATTGATGTGGCACAAGAAGAACGGTGCACCGCCTCTAGCAGAGAGAGGCAAAGGAACAGACCCAGCTTGCCAAGCCGCGGCTGATTACCTCTCGATGCTTGCCCTTCAAAAAGGAAGTAAAGACAATATCTCCATCATTGTGATTGATTTGAAAGCTCAAAGAAAGTTCAAGACCAGAACTTGAAGCTAAATTACAAACAGCACGCTTACTTACTTTTTTTACTGGGGGTAAGTATCGAATTTTAGTGTTTTTTTACTATTAAAAGGTTTAGATCGTTGAGGATCTAATGATTTCGAAAAGCTTTTTACATATTATTTACTCAATATTGTTAGAGGGGAGAAGTAAAGACTGAAGGATTAAGAAGATGATGCATAGCTAATTATATAAGTACTTTCTCATGGGAACTTGGGATTCGTATGTATAAGAAGAAGAAGAAGAAGAAGAAATAGGCAAAAGAATATGCTTTTTTGTTTGGTTTTGGGTATTAAAGTAGATGAATATGTTGTAATAGTTTTTGAGATGTGGCAAATGAAATTGTAATTGAAATTGAAACTATTGTCACATTTAACCTTCTTGCATTTCTCTTTATTATCCTTTCCTCTTGATTGATTACGTAATTAATGTCTATAACTTAAGATTGAGATAAGAGTTTTAGGAGCCTAGAGATTGAAAATTTTATTAAGTCCGGAATAAAGCAGTATACTAATCAAAAGGTGGACGTGCCGGAGTGGTTATCGGGCATGACTAGAAATCATGTGGGCTTTGCCCGCGCAGGTTCGAATCCTGCCGTTCACGTTTTTGTTTTTCATTCTTTTTTTTCAGTCAATTATCATCTTGCTTTCATTCATAAGAGTGCAGCCTTTACGAAATGTCCATATTTTTTTTTTTTTTGTGCAACGAAATGTCAATATTTTTTTTGCTAAATTGAGTAAAAAATAGAGATCAACCTCATTATCAAGAAATGTGGTGACGTGTGAAACCGTAGGTGAGAATTTAAAATAAATCTTAGAAAAGCTATTAATCATTGGCACCGCGTAAATGCTTAGATAAGTTTATTAAGAAGCTAACAAAAAGTCTGGATTGATTACATTATATAGATTGCGTTTGACGGTTTAGCCATTTTGTAAAAGTCACCACAACGCCCGCCCTCGTCCATTGACCCCAATTTGCTAGTTATCCAACTTATTTTATTCTTGATAGTATAAAGAAAACATTTTAGCTGTTTGTTTATTCGGAATTAGATGTTTAAAAGACTCTAGTTACGCATCAGTGCTTCACATAGAAAACGTGTTTATTAACACATTTATATTTATACATATGATTAGGCTGAACAGTTTTGATTAAATGACGTACCAATATGTATTTTGCTACATGTAATCCAGCTGTATTAGTTGTAGGCTTTTGAGTTTCCATTTCCAACTTTCACAAGCAAAATACCACCATTTTCCAGCTTATCTAACAAGTCATTTGCAATTTTATTTTTGTTTTTTTTCAAAACAAAAATTGTAAGGACGAATTTTTCTTCTTTTTTTTTCTTCTTTTTTTTTTTCTTCTTGAGTATGGTAAAGAATTGAGACACTAGCACATTTTTATTATAAGTGAAATTCAAGTTTCGAAATATATGTGGATTTGTAGAGTTTGTAGATATGAATTTTCAGATATTTATATGGATATAATTTGTGAAAGTTGGAATAATCTATTTATACAACGAATCAATTATGAAATAAACTACGTATCTCATACTAGGGGATCAGATCATGTAAACTATTTTTTTTTTTGTGTGTCGAGACTCAAGAACTGGTCAGATCTACCGAGTAAAGGTATAGTCAGCTACAAGTACTAAAATGAACATACAATACAATCCTCTACGTGAAATGTATATCTATAAAAACGTTTATAAGTAAATGAATTTTTGTTCAAGGAAAATACGTTCATTATCTGATTAGTTTTGTCTAAAAATTATGTCATAATACATATCTAAAAACTCCAAGACCAAGACAAAGACATAATTTTTGTTGTTGTTAGAAAGGTGTAAAGTAAAGGAACTAGTAAATCTACAAAAAAAAAAAATATATATCCATATAGAAATGGACCAAAACCAGTTCCCCAAGCATTATTAAAAATAAATATAAAAATAAAAAAATCTCACAACAAAAGCAAAGCATAAAAGCAACACATTGCATTACACAACAAGGGCATCGTAAGCCAACCACTCCAGAACTAAAATAAAAGGTTGTCTTTCCAAAAAGCCAAACTCATAATATAATAATAGAAAACGAGAAAAGAGTATGGAAGAAGAAGACGGAGACGCGTCTTCTCCGTTTTGGCTTCAATCTCGCCGCAACAACACTTACTTCCGCCGCACCGCAAGTCTTGGCGGTCGTGCAACCACCGTGGCTACTCAGATATTCTTCGCCGGAGCAGCTGCGATCCTCATAGTCGTCTTCATTATCCCTCCATTATTTTCCTCTGTTTCACAGATTTTTCGACCTCATTTAGTTCGTAAAAGCTGGGATTATCTCAACTTCGTTCTCGTTCTCTTCGCTGTCCTTTGTGGCTTCCTCAGCCGCAACACCAATAATGACGAAACCAATCATAACAAAGAAGACGATGAAAGTGACAAATTCTTGAACTCGCCGTCCATCGTCGATCGAGGAGACCGTGTATCTAACGGTGCCACACCGCGTTATTGGATCGACGATCGCGGCGGTGATCAGACGGTGTACAAGAGGTTTAGTAGATTACGTAGTGTTAGCTCGTATCCAGATCTAAGACTCCGGGAATACGAAGCCGATGAACGGTGGAGATTTTACGATGATACACGTGTAAGCCAGTGCCGTTATGAACATACAGATCCGATCTATCCAAATCAAAGTTACAGAAACTGGCAAGAGGAGGCTAAACCACCGCCGGGAGATGTTGTTCAAACAGAGCGCGACGGCAGCAACGGAGACGAAAGAAAGGTCCACATTGACGGTTCTGTTGCTGAGAAAGTTGAGGTCGTTGCGACGGCGAAAGCTGAAGTAGTAGAAGAGCTACCAGTGCCTTCTGCTCCGCCATATATTCCGTCTCCTCCGCCGTCTCCGCCCCCACAGCCTAAGCAAGCGAAGAGGAAGACTAAAAGAGTGTACCAAGATGTTCCTCCAAAGGAAGAGAAGAAGGAGAGAGCTGATTTTTCGGAGGTGGCGACTCCTCCGATCCTACCTCCGACCACTGTGCATCAGAGGAGCAATAAACCGGAGAAGAAGAAGAAAGGCGGAGCAACTAAAGACTTTTTAGTTGTGTTACGGAGGAAGAAGAAGAAGCAGAGACAACAGAGCATCGACGGCCTCGATTTACTCTTCGGCTCCGATCCTCCATTGGTCTACACAATGCCACTACCACCACCGCCGCCTCCGCCTCCGCCTCCGCCTCCGCCACCTTTCTTACGAGGGCTTTTCTCATCCAAAAAAGGTAAAATCAAACGAACCAATTCAAATCCACCGCCGCCTCCTCCTCCGCCACCACCTGAACGGAGATATGAATCACGAGCATCAATGGCGAAGAGTCGCAAAACTCCGGTGCAGTCACGGACATCTAAACCAAATCCACCTACTAAAGTAACTCAATTCGTAGGGACAGGAAGCGAATCGCCGTTGTTGCCGATCCCGCCGCCGCCTCCTCCTCCGCCGTTTAAAATGCCGGCGTGGAAATTTGTGAAGCGTGGAGATTACGTCAGGATGGCTAGTGACATAAGCATAAGCTCCGACGAACCCGATGACACGGATGTAGCTCAATCTGCCACCGGGAGTATGTTCTGTCCGAGCCCCGACGTAGATACCAAAGCCGATGATTTCATCGCGAGATTCAGAGCTGGACTCAAATTGGAGAAGATGAACTCTGTGAAAAGAGGGAGATCCAATTTAGGACCCGAACCCGGACTTGATGAAGCCGGATCTTAAACGGGTTAACAGGCCTTAGCCCAAGCGTATAGAGTATATTTATTTTCTTATTGGGTATTTTTTCGGAACGCCGATTATATTCTTTTTGTTGCGTTTTTCGGCTTACTATTGTGTTGTTGTTTCTTTACTTTTATTAAATTTTCGTATACGTTAATTTGTGTGGTGTATACAAAACAACAAAAAATTAATATATAAAGCCCATCTTCACAATCCACAAATATGGGATCCTTAATCACGGGGCTTAATCAAGAGTCAAGACCACCACCTACGCTTACCTATGTTGCACAAAGAAGCTGTGTGTTAGCGTTAGAAAGAAGCATCTTATCTTTAACCTAATATTTATATATATATAGCTTAAGCAACAGTCTAGGGCTAGAATTGCTCTTTCTCATTTGTTTTTCTCATCTTCTCCATGGCCGGGTCTAGCAAGAAATCCGCAACCAAAGGTGAATCAACTCCTGCTTTGATTAAGGCCACCAAGTCTGTGAAAAAGTCCAAGAGGAAGCAGGAAGATGATTCAAAGAGGCCAAAGAAAGACGTAACGATTGCTCCTCTCAAGAAGAAGAAATCTGGGAGGAAGAAGATCATGAAGGAAATCGTTGATCGTCTTCAAAGGCTCGAAGCTAAGATGGATTTGCTGGCAACAAAGGCGGATCTAGAGGCGATTTTGATCTCAGCCAAGGGTGAGAAAGTTCCTGCCATAAAGCCTCCTGCTAAGGCTGCGTCTGACAGCGAGGACTCATCATACATGGACACTTCTTCAGATGAACAAGTTACTGTATCCAAGAATCCACATGCAGCTGCTAAAAAGGTCTCTGTAAAGGCCAAAACAGAGAACAGTTCGTCTCAGGATGATTCATCTTCTGATGAGGAACCTGTAAATAATCCTGCTGCGTTTACCAAACCAGCTGCTAAACATTCTCCATCCTCAATTGGTGACAATCCTCAAACGATCTCTGTTACAGGATTTGACCCTTCGATCCATGTGGATGATGTCAACATCATATTGAGTAGATATTTCAGTTCTTTTGGGGAGATCACACGCGTATTTGTTCCCGCAGACGGTGACACCGATGCTTCCTTAGGATATGCTTACATTGATCTGAAACAAGGAGCAGACAAGGCGTTGAAAATTGCCAGACATGACGTGGGAGGATGGAATCTTGTAGTTGGTACGGCTGAACCAATACAAAGTGGTAGTTGGCTTTTTAACGGCCGTTGTGGCTCTCGTGGCTTCTGTGGGTACTGTTGAGGTTATGGTGGCGGAGGAAGAGACTGCTCCTGGAAGAGGACGCTCTATGGTGTTTTTAACTTGTGAGACTATGCAACATTTTTTTTATATAATTACTTCTAGTTAAGCTTTTGTCCGTATTTTAAAAGTAGACTCACTCCTGAGTTTTTTTTTGGTGTTACTGTGTCCAAGAAGAACCGCAATTTTTAGTTTCCTTTCATTAGATCCTCTAGTTACAAGCAACAATATCATATGACCTGAATATAGATGGCCTAGAGACAATAAGTGTTTTGGAAGAATTACACAAACAAACAAAACTAATTTAACACTTAGATTCATTGCCAGTAGACGAAAAAGACAGGTCGTGTGTATTTTGATAGAGCATATGAAAAAAATCTGTTGTACTTTAATGTGAACTAATCAGTCTTTTAGTTTCACAAGTCCAAAGAAACGCAATTTCATCACTTCCTCTAATAACAACCCAACAATATCATAGGACCTGAAGGATAGATGCCCTGGATACAATAATGGTTTCCGAAGAAACGCAAACAAAACAAAGCTTATTTAACACTTCTTAGATTCATTGTTCTCAAGATACTCCTTGAGAACATCCATAACTGAACCAAACTTTGCCTTGACCTTAACTGGTGGATTTGCCAATCTACAAGCCATCTCCTTTATGTTCTTGGAATGATAATCAATCTTACTCTGCGTGAACTTCAATCCATGAGCTGTACTCACCACCACAGTCCGATCATTCGCTTCGATAACTCCAGACTTCCTCAGCTTCATCAATGCCGTCAATGCCACACCTGTATGAGGGCATATAAACATCCCAGTAGAATCAGCAAGAGCTGTTGCATCCATCAACTCTTCTTCAGTAGCTTCCTCCACAATTCCATTAGATTTCTTCAACGCATACACAGCTCTGTCAATCGAAACAGGATCACCGATCTGAATCGCAGAAGCAAATGTAGTGTTTGCTTTCAACGGATTGAAATCTTCGTTAAATCCAGATTTGTAGTGCAAGTAAAGTGGATTTGCATTAGCAGCTTGAGCACAGACAAGCCTAGGGATACGATCAACAAGACCTAACTCTTTACACATATGAAACCCTTTGTAAAAGGCATAGATGTTACCAAGATTGCCTCCAGGAACAATGACCCAATCAGGAACTTCCCATTTGAATTGCTGCAAAATCTCAATCGCCGCCGTCTTTTGTCCTTCGAGACGGAGGCTGTTGAGGGAGTTGGCTAAGTAAATCGGAAGCTCTGCCGTGACTTCTCTGATCAAATGCATACATCCATCAAAATCAGTATCAATACTAAGCACAAACGCTCCATTTGCAATCGGCTGAACAAGCTGAGCCATGGAGATTTTGTCAGCCGGTAAGAACACGATCGACGGGATTCCGGCGGCAGCACAGTAGGCAGAGAGAGCAGCAGAGGTATCTCCAGTTGAAGCGCATCCAACTCCGACGACTGGTTTGTTCATTTTCCGGAGACGGTTCACCTGACAAACAAGAACCATCATAATAAAGTTGTAAACTTTATAGACGATGACTGTAAAGTTGCAAACTTTACTGAAAGTTGTAAACTTTGTTTAAGATGATAGACCTGAGAAACAAGAACAGTCATGCCTAGATCTTTAAACGAACCAGTGTGGCTGATACCACAATGTTTCACCCATAGATCGTTCATCTGCAGATACTGTTTCCCGAACCGCTCAGCCCAGAAGAGGTTTGAGTTGCCTTCGAAAGCAGAGACGATGTCATCATCGTCGATCTCGGGGAGAACCCACTCTTTCTTCGACCAGACGCCTGATCCGTATGGCCAATTGGTTTTACCGACGCGGGAGTCGAAGAGTTTACGCCAGAACTCTCCGTCGTAGCGCTTCAGGGCGGCGAAATCGTGTTGGACGTCGAGGAGGCCACCGGATTGAGAACGGTAGACGATCTCGTCGAGGGAGTAGGATTCAGTTGAAGAAGGTGGAGCGTCGAACGGGACGTAGCGTGCGGAGAGGTTTTGGAGTTGATGAGGACGGCGACGAGCTTCGTCTCGGATGTTCTCATCGGGGGAACGGCGGTGTTTATGAGAGGGAGGAGAGGAGGAGGTGGTGCATCGGACGGTGAAGGAGACGGCGGAGGAGTGAGGTTTAAGTGAGGTTTGAGAGTGGGAAGGGAAGTAGGTGGCTGAGTGGAGAAAGGAGAGTGAGGCCATTATGACTGACACACATGAGAGGGTAAAGTGAAGAGTTTGATTGGAGAGAAGAAGAATGTTGACAAAACACCTTTGTCACTAAATAACTAATTCATTTTATAAGACTCAAAATTTATTTTATTGATTTTTCAAGTGCCATTCCAAATTCCCAATAAATAATTGTACTAACCGCACTAGGAACAAATGAATGAAAATGAATCGTGCATGAATCTTTTAGATGATCAAGTCATGCATTTTTCAAGAATGTTTCGGATCAGAGAAAGTTTAATGGGACAAATTCACACACACCATCATTTTATTGACTTACTTACATAGAGTTGTATGTATATGCTTCTGTGATTTCAATTTCATACCAGCTAACTTATCAAATAATCATATTACAAACCGCCAAAAAGATAATTAAACAAAAATTAAGAAGAGAGATATTTCTATTTAAGAAAAAAAAATGAGAGTGGCCTTATTGGATCATCTTTTACCACCAAAGAATCTTTTAATACGGACAGGGTCAAAGATACAGTAAAACTGTAAATGGATGAGCAATGTGAATAGACCAACCAAATCAGCTTACTTTAACTAGCCTTGGTTTGGTTCACGACTAAAATAAATACCTCAACTGATTGTTGTCTAATGTCTCTATACTAGTCCTCCAACGTAGAGCATATGGTTTTGGGGGGAAAAAAGAACACAAAGAGAGAATCTTTGAAAGAGAAGGTATATATATATATATATAGGCAGCAGGAAAATAATGATTAATATGGATGATGTCTACTACCTTAGTTACAATACAATCGGGCGTTTTCTTTTCTTGGTTTTGCAGATTGTCTTGGTTTTTCTATTAATTAATAGCTAAACCAATCTACTTAACTCACTAAGTGTTAACCTTACAAGAGGATTTGCAGTTGAGAAATTTTGGTATCGCGTAGCCTTTTAGTTTTATCTCCAAGTTGCTCCTAGGCATAGTGCAGTTCATTGCCATTTTCCTAGACAATGCATTTCTACTGGGAATGTACATTACTTAATCACAGCTACATTCACTTTACTCCTACATTTGTTATGTATTTGGAAGTTGGGACAAGTTTAGATATTTGATTATTGATTCTTTATCCCAATTGCAATATTAATAACATAGTGTTATCTAGACTTATATAACTGGCTAGTATAAGATATATATATATATATATACTAATCAACAAGTAGTTCACCTAATACACCCCATTTGTTGAAATCTAACATAAAATATGATGCAAGTGATACATACGTATGTTATGATACATTCTCATAATTAAGGACATATACAACATTATACTTAGATCAATGCTTTTCTGGTAGTGGATTTAATAACCAGTTGCGTTGCTGTCTGGTAATATTACTGAGTAGAGAAACTAGAACACTTCCAGTACTGTTACTGTTGTTTGTGAAATATAAATGATTAGATAATGGTTGAGTACGTACTTCCCAGTGTTCTATCCACTTCTCATCTCATTTTTGTCCAATGACTTAAAAATGGAAACGGCCGGGTTCTTCGTGACTGAACATGGATCATGGTTGGAGACTATTTTGAACACAACTACTTAACTTAAGTACTGGACCTTTACAAGTTACAATAGCTAGGAACATTGTGGTGGCCCTGAATTAAAGGTCCAAACAGAACAAACACTGTTAGGATTGGAATATGGTTGGTCAAGCCCATCACAGTTTTAATGTTCCTTTCGGAATCAAATCACATGGGCTCTGTTCGGCAAAGAATCGCAGCGGCAGCGGCTGCGATCAGAATATTAGCTTTACTTTTCATGTAACTACTCTTCATCTCTCTTTCACCTCATCTCAATTTTGGTCGTGCTACTCTAATTTAAAGATTTTGGAGCCGCTACATTAAACAGCGATTGAAACCCAAGCTTTAATTTGAACTGGGACAGTCGTGAACTTCTAAAAATCAAACTACCATTATCAAATACTTACAGATCTGTAAGCTTTTTACAGAAGAAGAAGCTATTTTTTTACCATTATCGAGATTTGCAGATCTGTTTTATATTTATAGTTATGCCCTTTAAAAACTCATAATTGCAAAAGTTTTATGTACGAAAAAAAGGAAAAAAAAAATTAGTCGCATGAAAGAGTCGCGCGACTCGGAAAAGAACACGCCCATGGTTGGAACCAGTCTAAATATTCTCGTGTTAACATTAATTATGCCAGGAAGAATCTTTGGCAGACTCACTTTAACATCTCTAATCCGTTCAAGATAAGGATTAACGATGGTAATCAAACAAACGTGCATCCAAATAAAAACAAATGTTTGGGTAGTGGCCATTTCCAAATACTAAAATAGTAGTTACTAAAATATATGTGAAACTCCCAAGGCTAATTATAGTAGTATTCTTTTATCAAGTTCTGTCAGTAATTGATACAACGACATAAAATTATTTTCTGTTGGTCTTTGGTATCATATTTTTTTTTTTTCTTTTCTTGGTTTGGTATCATCTTGTTCAAGGACCACCACCACTGTTCTTGAAAATTTAGCATCTCTAGGAACTGATATATCTGTAAATTCTTTATTTTTCGTAGGAAAAAAAAAAGGTAGAAGAAGTAGTGGAAGTGGAACTGTGAAAGAGGAGGAATCAGATGTCACGTGATAGATCACGTGCTGCCTCTCACACTGACGATTCAACGATATGGACGCCACGTCATCTTATCCAAATCACAAAAGCGGATCCATTTTCTCTCTCCTCTGTTGTGTCTGATCCGAGGAGAATACCTCAGCCGTTGGTTCAGATTACTACTTTTCAGCTTCTCTGTATCTCCACCGTCCATCTTCTCCTTCTAAGAGTGCTTTGCTCTCCCATTTTGTCGCTTTCTTTTAATCCTTAGTCACGTTTGACACGTGTCACCTGCCAGCATCTGATTTTTTTATTTTTTTACTAAATCTTTTACTATATTTTTCCCTCTTTTACTAGATCAGTAGATCTTCCTTATTTCCTTAATAAATGATTTAATATTCAGTTTAAAAATCTTGAATTCAATCCTAAATTTTGTTTTTGTTTAAGCAACAATTTGGTGATATCATAATATAAAATCTGATACTATGATACACTCATAACCTAATATATATTTTGTTCCGACGATTAAGTAACCGATACAATTTTCTGAAAACCATAAATGGCATTTTGGTTACAAAGAGTAAAAAGAGAAATTGGTGAACCGATAAGCCGGTTATAGCTATACCGGCATCTCAATTTGGTTTATTAACAGAGGAAACAAAAAAAAACGGAACCCTAGAGTCGCTCGATAACAGTATAAACTGTTAATTGTTAAAGGTCTCTCATTTGCGTGTGCTCTCTTGCGATTACTCTCTTGCGATTACTCTCTCTCACTTCTCTTTTTGTATCGGTCTCGTATTGGTTGTTTATAGGGTATTCTCCGGCTAAGGATACGGGTTTCGTGGTGAGATTTTTTTTCTTTCTATTGTCGTTTACGGGCGAGGATGATCGTTTCTTCGGTAAGGTCGATTAATCGGTTCTGTTTTCGAAGATGTTGTTAGATCCGCATGGTTTTGGTGATCGTTTTGGATCCGAGACATGGTTCCACAGGAGAAAAAAATGCCGTCGTCTCTTGCTTTGAGATTTCCCTTGTGAAAGTTTTCATCTTTCGTCCTCGTTGAATCCTTAATTTTTTTTTTGGTTCCTTTTTTTTTTATATAGAAATTTTGGTCTTCTAATCCTGGGGATAGGTTACAGTCTCCGATTGTAAATAGAAATTCTCAACGTCGTGACTTTGAAGCTTAGATAAAAGTTGTACAGAAATAGATTGTAACTCGAGCTCTGAAACAAGCAAGTTTTTTTGGAACATTTGTGTTCCTTGTTTAAAAAAGGGGTGTTTTTTATTTGTTCCTGGGGTTGGGTTAAAAAGTGGCGAAGATGAATCTAGGTGCGGCCGAGGAAGAATCGGCACAGGAGATTCACATCCCAGCTGATATCAATTGGGAGATGCTTGATAAATCCAAGTTTTTCGTTTTAGGAGCTGCTTTGTTTTCAGGTGTATCTGGAGCTCTTTATCCTGCTGTTTTGATGAAAACTCGGCAGCAAGTGTGTCATTCACAAGGCTCTTGTATCAGAACTGCGTTTACCCTTGTGAGACATGAAGGTCTAAGGGGATTGTACAGAGGATTTGGGACCTCTTTGATGGGAACAATCCCTGCTCGTGCCTTGTACATGACTGCCTTGGAGGTTACCAAGAGTAACGTGGGCTCTGCTGCTGTTAGCTTAGGTTTCACAGAGGCTAAAGCTTCTGCAGTTGCTAATGCAGTTGGAGGTTTGAGTGCTGCGATGGCTGCACAGCTTGTTTGGACTCCTGTTGACGTGGTGAGCCAAAGGCTTATGGTTCAGGGAAGTGCTGGTCTTGTCAATGCATCGAGGTGTAATTATGTTAACGGGTTTGATGCATTTAGGAAGATTGTTCGCGCTGATGGACCTAAGGGATTATACAGAGGGTTTGGGATATCTATTCTGACTTATGCTCCATCTAATGCGGTTTGGTGGGCTTCTTACTCTGTTGCACAGCGGATGGTTTGGGGTGGAATTGGGTGTTACGTCTGTAAAGAAAGTGGGAACAACAGTACTGCGATTAAACCAGACTCCAAAACGATAATGGCTGTTCAAGGAGTTAGTGCTGCGATTGCTGGAAGTGTTTCTGCTTTGATTACAATGCCACTTGACACGATCAAGACGAGATTGCAGGTTCTTGATGGGGAAGATAGTAGTAACAACGGGAAGCGTGGACCGAGTATTGGACAGACTGTAAGAAACTTGGTTAGGGAAGGTGGATGGACGGCTTGTTATAGAGGATTGGGACCAAGATGTGCTTCAATGTCAATGTCTGCAACAACTATGATAACTACCTACGAGTTCTTGAAACGGCTTTCAGCTAAGAACCATGACGGGTTTTGCTCTAAATCATAGCGATAACAACCACATAGAAGAATCTTTTATGGAAATGTCTTTAATTTTCTTACTTGTCTTGTTCTGGTCTAAGCTTGTTTTGCTATTTTCATTTGTTTTCCAGTCATATGTAAGGAATGTGTTAAAATTCAGTTCTTAAATAAATAAATGCTCATTTTCCTCGATTCAGTTTCCGGGTCTGGATCGGTTCACCATAAACCGCACGACCAATCCCGGTAAGGTATGAATGCGATTTAAAAAGATGACTTGTAAGACTTTTATTTGGCAATTTGCAGTCTTACATAGATTTAATTTGGCAGCATGTTATAATTAGTAATTCATGAGTCACTTAGAAAGTGATTTTCAGGATTGTGACTATTATATATATTTCACAAATGCTGTCATTTTCTTTGCAGAAGTTAAAATTATGATCGTTGTTAGTATTTCAGGAACACAAGTGTGTGCCTGTCACATAAGTCAACGTGTTTTGGAGCAGAATCTTACGTTTCTTCTTACCTTATCAAAAAAAATTATTGTTTTCTAATCAGGAAATAATTCATATAGAGACGGCCTGATCTTTTGAGAAAAAAATATTCATGAACGTGTCGACGAAATGGTAATATTTTCAAGTATCTTAAGTGTATAAATATCTTCTTCGACGGTTAAATTAGACCTCAAAGTGGAATCTTTCAAACTCTAATACTCAATTATAAGAAGTGTATCCAGAACCAGAATAAGACATTATCTAATAATATACTGGATTCCTCATTAAATATATATACCAAACATCGTCAACTACATTGTAAAATACTTCAAGAATCCGAATGTGTCTCTTCACACAAATCAATGGAGTGGAAGCAGAATCTGTGTTTTTTCTTCGTCATTTTCAAATAGAATAAGGAGTCATCTTCATTGCCGACACAAACGAAGAAAAAACGAGCATTTAAATCAATGATTAAACAAAGATGAACTGAGAGTACTTTATTAGAACAATCAAATCACTAGTTGTTCACATGAGATACATGGTAACAGAAGATTAAAAGGCAACAATAGCAAGTGTTTCAAAGTGAATATCCTGGTCGTTTTTGTGATGTCTAAGACAGAGACATAATGTGACATACAAACGCTACGTTACAGCAAGCGAAAGAACTAGTAGCCAAGGATGACTTCCCCTTTTCGGTGGGAACATGAACACAGCACCAAGAATTCAATGTCTCAGATACGGACAGAGAAATGGTGCATGTCCCCACCTCCATGCATGTCATTTGATTGACCATGAACAAGCATGGCTCTGTTCGTCTGACTTGGGAAACCTGAAAACTGGAATTCAGTGTGTCCAAAGATATCAGCACTGTCGGAAACAGAGGTGATGTCTGAGCCAGAAGTGGTTGAGCTGCGGTCTTTGCTGTTATGCAGCATATGCGCTTCGAATCTTGACATGTTGGCCTTTTTGTTATCCCGCTGGCTTGACTTGTCATTTTCTTGTTCTCTAGCAGCAGCCTCTTCGGACTCTTGAAGAAGTTTTTTGGTGTTTAGGAATCTTCCACCGGATCCTCTTGGCCTTTTGAGAGCATGAACATGTCGAGACTCATGAAGATACGGCTGTTGCATAAAGAAAACACAGAGATGAGCAGAACAGTTTCAATGAAATGATTTTGTTTGTGTTGGCTCATAAGGTCAAGTATATACTTTACGGGCTTTGATTAGCTTGTTTTGAGCCTCAAGCTTGGCACGTTGCTGCCTCCTCCTCATGATTGCATGGTATTGCTTCGCATTGACAAAGACCGGTTCATTTTCAGTGAGCTCCCCTGGTAAAGGAACTCGACCCTGAACTGTACCCACCATGTGGGGATTGCATGTCTGCAAAAGAGATTAAGAGTTTTGAGATCTGATGGACAGATCAAACTGAAAGATAATCTTGGGATTCTATTTATTTGCAAGGCGTAATAGGACTGCTTCATAGTATAAACAAACTTAAATGCAAGCATACCAGAAGAAGAAGAAGAAGTATGAAACAAAAGGGTTGTTCTTACCGGTGGATGTGGTAAGTAAGTTGCAGCTAATAAACCACCAAAGTGTGGATCAGCATAGTGAAATGAGAAATTAGGCTGCATAATGTGTAATATAAGCAATCAGTCCACCATCAGAACTTGCTATTATTACAGATTCATAGATTTACAATTACCTGTGCAGGAGCAGCAAAGTGAATATTTGGATATCCTGTGATCGAGCCTGATTTAGGATTAGCGGCAAACCCTTTCCGCTGAGTCTCTTCAGATCCTAAACAAACAACTGACAAGTCAGAGAGAGGATATAACAATTCTAAGGCAAAAGGATGATTCTCTTGTGAATGACATGAGAAGTAAACATAACAAATAATGTTAAGCAGCCAAAAAATCAACTCAAAAACATCAAGCAAGGAGTCTTTAACATAGAAGATCACATATAGATTTATTTTCAAATGTGTTCAGCAAACCCTGTATATTCTTATGAAACTAACCTGACTTAGCTGAAAACGAGATTTGTCTTGAAGGATTATCATCTCCACTACTAGCAACCTCAGTGTAAGATTGACCAGTAGACTGAGTAGAAGATGAGTCCTGGTCCTGGAAACTAATTTGCTTAGTGGTCTGTACATGTCCTCCAGGCCTTGCATCCACCTTCAAGCGAGGTGATTCAGCAGAACCGCGACGATTAACAGCAACAGAATCAGTTGGAGCAAGTCCCCATGAGATGCTAGTATTAAGGTATGGCAAAGTGGAATGAGTAGCTGAATCTTTCTTATTCATCTGATGCATCATAACGCCTTCCTTAACAAGCTAATTCTCACAATCAACAACAACCTAAAAAAATCATTCAAAGATTAGATTTTTATTAGAGAGGGATCAGCAGAAGACCAGATTTAAAGCTAATAATCCAAGTGGGTGAAAATAAAAGAAAAACTCAGAATAGAAATAAACAGAAATTAGAAGTTTCTAAATTGGTGTAATGTTTTTGCTTAAATAATCTAAAACGAATTGTGATTCGATCGTACTATCTTGGGTTAACCAAAACGATTGCAGAGATCGCTACGATTGGCTAAAATTAGTAATTTTCCGACCAAGAAAAAATTAATATGTGTTCCCGTCATCACTTTTGGGCAAAAAGGCGTTGACTTGAAAGATGAAAATTTTTAGCAAGTGTTTCCAAATCAGTAAAACATCAAAATCGCACGCCACAAGACAGATACACCAAATAATTGAACCAAGAAAAATGGGAAATTTTTGGACAGAAACTAAAGCATCCAAAGCCCTCGAACACAGATTCATAAACAGAGATAGAGAGAGAGACAGACAGACCTTTGAGTAATCGATGTAGAGAGACAAAGGACACAGATTAGTTTTGCATGTCTCCTTTGTCCAAAACAGAACAAAGTCTCTCTGTCTTAGTGGAATCGGTCGGAGAGTGTATCGTAATTGGTATGTGAAGATCTTCTTTTTTTTTGCTGCTTCGTCTTCGTCTCAAACCTTTTTTTTTTTTTTACTCGGAAACCACCATCGCCATGAGCACCACCACTACCAGTTTCTTCGTCTTCTCCTTCTGGTTAATTATTGTCTTAAGTGCTTAATTATTTCATTTTTAATTTTCTTAATTTTATTTTGGCTTCGCTTTACCCAATACACAGAATAATAAGGCTCTCTCCCTATCCCACCTTATAGAATCCATCAATCAATAACCCAAACAACACAATAACTTCTTTTTAAAAAACTATTTAAAATAGTCCAACTATATCAGATTCTTAAATTCCCTAACACAGTTTTAAAATTTTTAATTTCAGGGGAAAAAACCAAAATGATAACATTTAAAAGAGAGACAATTGAATAGTGTAATTCTATAAAGGTAAACGTACAATTCAAGAATTTTTTTCCTCTTGTAAAATAATGATTCCTATCTCCACAAATCCGTTTGGCACTTTATCTTTTTTTTCTTTTTATAGCTCATTTAGCAGTAACGTATTATTATAATATATAAGTTCTTTTACCAACTTTTCCCCCATCTTTTATTTCGAATATAAACTTATATAAGTATATTATTTTTTCTTGAGGGATGTATGATTTCTTAATTCGATTATCTATAATAATAATGATTCCAAAAAGTATTAGCTATCTTGGCCACGTTAGCTTTTACTTAGTTCAATTTTTTAGTTTTGTGTGAAGCTTTTTAATTAAAATGCTACTTAATATTTAATGGTATGTTTATTTAGCTTTTTGTCCAAAGTGTGTTGTCGTTTCCAGACTAATGACACTTTTTAATATGTCTGAAGTCTGAACTGAACCGTCCTTAAAATCTTTCCTTTAGGTTTTTGACCCTCTAGTTTTTTTTAGCCGCCCTTGTCTGCTTGTCATTCATTCGTCTGTCACGCGCTCCTGAACTCGTGAGAATGCGCACGCTTTTTTGCAATAGAACTGGGTTGTGTGTGTGCAACAAGGATGGTGGTGGTTTAAGGAAGGTGTAAGCAAGCATGTAAAATGAGATAGCGAATGGATTGTATAATATTAAAACTTAGGTTGGGTTCTTAATCAAGTACCTAACCTTTTCTGCAATGTAAATAAAGCTTTAGTGCAAGTTAAGCATAGTCATATCCCCCTCCTTTATCCTTGGAAGTAACGAACAACCAAAACATAATTATTGCTACTACTTCACTTTTAACATTTTTTTATATATATTCAATATGTTGATGGGCTTTTATAAGCCCTTGATTGATGATCCATGAGAATTTGGACACGTGGGGTACTATACTCATCATAATTCATACCCTATGGACCAAAAATCAAAAGTTAATCACCTTTCTTTAGACCAAAATCTAAAGAGACCAATGGAAAGCTAATATAGATCTGTAGAAGCCATGATAAATAACTGAGGAAGACCAAATGCTTTGTGTTTTTTTTTTGTTTTGTTATCTTGTTCTCTTAAGTGATGAGTGAGGGAACCACTCAAGAGAGACAACTAAAATTAGGATTGAGGTCGACATGAGAGACCCGCTCAAGTTCCCCAACCCCAGTGAATATCTCAGATGAGAAGAGGGCCTGCAAATTTTGTACATTCATGTATCGGCAAGAGGCAATAGTATCAGCCATAGTATAATGGGAAAAAGATCGTTCTTCTCAATCAAAAAGGTATACAAATTGTATGAATTCGCAATAGAGAAAAAGCAGACCGACCTATTTAACCAATTACAAAGGTCAAACAGCTACTGACAAACAGACATGCCAACAAGAGCAACCCAGACTTGTAGGGAGATCAAATAAATAAATAAACAAAAGGGTTAAAATGACAACAAACAAGACCACAAGAACAAACAAATGCAGAATCCATTAATCAGATTTGTTGGGAGAGTTTTTGGCCAAATCATGTAACATAATTTACGAGTTCGACCTTTTCTCATTGATCAGAGTTAAGGGCTTTGGATATCCATTCTGATGCTGCGGCTTGAGTTTCTGAATCATTATTTGCAAGTAAAGACAATGGAGTCACAGAAACCTGCCATTACCAAATGGGTATATAGAGTGGAAGTTAGTTAGAATCCAGATTTTCCTTACAATTTTTTTAGAGTTCAGAATTAAACCAGAGTTTCATGATGAGCGCAACTGTTGATTTTTAAACGGAGAATGGATGAATGATAACAAAAAAAAGAGCATGATCGTGGCAACTTACATAACCATCTTCTAGAGCCTTGACATCCAAATCTTCATCTCTGAATTCTTCTTCTTTAGTGAGAAACTGCAAACATATAAGCAGGAATCTTAAACAAAAGGGTATACAATTATCCAAAGCATTTGTGTGAAGAGAATGGTCCAAGTTTTTCTTTACCTCTAAACGAAAGAATTTCTTAACACGGGTATCAGTTTTACCAGCAACACCAACTGATTCAATCTCCACAATACTCTTCTTCTGAGTTGTAAAACGACGAGCTGCCCCCTGAGATTGCCAGATATTTTAATTTCAGTGTTGAATATACTAATCTTGGACCTTCTATACCAACAATTAATCTAAAAACAAAAAAAGTCAGAGGTTTGAAACCCCTGATTAGGGAATAAACTCACAGCAGCTGAAGCATCCCTGCCAAGCTGGGCAAGCTGAGCACCTAGACTTTGTTGGTTGGACATGAAATTTCCAGCACCAGGGTGACGGTGAGCTGAAACAGCTTGCCAACTAGGACTCTGCCTCCACATGCTTTGTTTTGTTACCTTAAAACCCTATTCATATGTACAAGAAACGTCAACTTCCCTATATCATTGCCTAGTGAGGCTCATATCTCTCAACATTAAAAAATAGTACTTGTGAAAAAACATTGTATGATCGCTACAAAAGAGATCCTTTATGAAATTCGGTTTGAATGTTCTTTGAATACAAAAGAAGAACCAAAAAAAGTTTCCTAGACGAGTTTTATTAGAGATACAAACCTTGTTTGATGAGGGCGTTGTTGGAATTTCTATGTTGAGAGAGCAGTCTTTAGGGTATATTCCTTTCTCAATGTCTCTGATAGTTGCGTTTATCAAAGGTAAGCAGACACCAACAGCATCCTTAAAGTGACTTTCTTTGCTTTCATCTTTCTTCCTATAATCGATATGAAAAATTATGGCCAACAATTCCAAATATGTAGCAGCAGGCATTCTCACGATATACTCACCAATTCAATGATATTGACAAAGAGGGTACCCCAGAAATCAAAGCCTCCCTGGCTCCAGCAACTGCACCTGAATAGAACCTGGAGGATTCTCAAATCAGGAAACACAGAGGAGACGGCGGAACAAGGAACAACCACTTATTTACAAGAAAAAGGCACTTACATTTGATGGCCACAGCTTGAACCCTGATTGATTCCACTAATTACCTGAAGAAAACAAGCAAAGCCAAAGATACATAAATTACGAATTACCAAAGTATCATATAGTCAAATGATAAGAAAATAACCAAATCGCTAACCAGTATTGGTTTGGACCAAGCAAATAGCGCCCCGGATAATCCTAACGAGATGCAGTCCACAGGAGTCCCTGAGACAAAGGAATAATTTAAAAACCTATGAACAAAACGGTACTCACACCACATGCATTAAAACAAGAAACTGATGACAAAAGGAAATCCCAGTCTACACTACACTTCTCCAAAAAACTTGAAAATCTCTGAACTTTGTTTTAAGTTTCAACAAAGACTTCAGCTTTAACATTCCATATACTTATTTGTCAAACTTATATATGTTGTGAAACTTCAGAAAACTGTGGTAATAATCATTTCAATAAAATCCGCATACCTGAAACTTCAAAGGCTGTTGCACCCTTGATATTAACAGAGCTTACAGCGATGGTTTCCCCTGGAGTCATAGAATGAGCAGAAGCTGATTTGTCCCTGCAGATTCCAATTCACAGCGATACGTTCAGAAATTAAACAAAAGATCAACCAAAAGACGGAGGTGAACAAATCAAAAACCAAATGAACAACGGAAAACAATCGGATTCGTAATGAAATGGAGAAACCGCACGTTTGAGGAGCACAAACATGGACATTGTAGAGGCCTTCACGAACCAAAGCCTCAACGAGAGAAACAAGCCCTGGCGAATCAATCCCATCTCCATTCGTAACTAAAACGATAGGTCTAGAGTCATCGATCTCTTCTTCCTCCACCGCGGCAACGACGGAATCAGATGTAGACGGAACCTCCTCAGCCGATCCATCGCTCGCAACCTTTTCCTCATTCCCTCCTTTTCTCTTCGAAAGCACATCCTGGAGATTCGAAACAAGCGCCGCTGACAAACCATTGTTCTTCGAGGTCATCGTATAGAACGAATAAGCAAAACGCAGATTTTGATTTGTGGGTCTGTGTTGAATGAATCAGAAAAAAAAAAAAAAAAAACCCTAACGAGAGAACACGAAGACGAATAAAATTAGAACACAGAACGGGTCTAACGGAGAGAGAGAGAGAGAAGAAAGGGAGACACTTTTTAATTGGTAGAGAGAGAAAAAGCTTGAAGAAGAGAGATTACTTGTGAACTGTAACAATTTGAGTTTCTTCTTCTTCCGCTTTAGATAGAATGAATACAAGAGAGAAAGAACTGTGACGCGCAATTTTTATTTTCAGACAATATAATATTATTATTAAAATTCAATCCAAAACCATCCAATAAGAAATCAGGGAAATGTTTGTTTTTTTTAATTATGGATTAAATTTAAGACATATAAATCTTGAAAATTTTAAATGTTTTATGGATATTAATTGTTTTCTTCTAACTATGGTCAAAAAGATGAAACAGGGTCCTGATCTAATAATTATACAGTTATCAGATGTGTCATAAGAAGAATTATGACATTACATTTAAAGATATTGGAAAAAAAATAGTTAGAACCGACAACATTATAGTACCATGTTAGTTGAAATATTAATAAAAGTGTTAACTGTTGCTAGATCAAATGCTAGTGAAAAAAAAAATGTAAAATTAGCCTTTTGACTTAATTTAGTTTTTTTTTTTTGTCATCACTTAATATAGTTTAAATAATGCTATATTACTAAATTTGGGTACAGTAAATGTTTTAAAAAATAGGGGAAAAAAATTTAGCATTGAGTTTGTTTATTTTGTTAGGTTATTTCTAGCTAATAATTAACTGACTATGTTTGCTAGCATTGCAAATAGATGATTAATGTTTTTTAACAAAAAAAAACTTATTATGAATGGCAAAAAAATATTGTAGGGTCTCGAAGTCAAGAAAAGAAAAAGAAAATGTCAATATTAGGGTTGTGTTGTTGTGATAATTGTCTTGGTAATCATAAAATGTCAAAGGTTTAGTTCCTTAGTTTTGATATAATTGAAGTGATCGTCACGTCGTGATAATTATTCAAGAAAAAAAATACTCACAAAACATAAACATTGACCGAATTGTAGTATAAACGCATTAAACAGTTAGACTGTTGAAATGTAGTATATATCGAATTGGGTTTCTGAATATCGGGGATCTTTTTTGCTTTTTGTAGTCTTTAGATCTTCTAACAGTTGGCTACAAAACACTTCTAAAACTTTACAGATACATAACAAATGCTGATTAAAATATGTAATATTTGATGGACTCTAGGTATACAAATATACTTAATTTTGGATGGACTCTTGTTTCTTTTGTTGGGCCAGACTAGTACATATGTAAATTAGCCCAAGATAACTATTTGATATTTACATATTACTAAACTTAAAGTACCCATAGGCCCATTTATTTTAACAAATTTTCTAGAGACGGAACCTTAAAGCAATATTATTGGCAGTATCTTAGCCAAATCAAGATTTTTTTCTTCACATATCTTAACCTAAGATTTGGCTAAGATACTACCAATAATAGTGGTTTTAGTTCAAACGATAACCGCGGGTGATGAATCTGAGATCCGTGGTTGCACAGGTTGGGAGGAGTATGGGTTCTCGCCGCTATTTTTCTGCACCGCCTAGTGGTAGCAACTCCTATGGGGAGACGATCATTCATTATCCACGATCAGAAACTCCCCTACTGGCGGATTTGATTAGATTGCATCTTGCATGCGTTGTTGAACTACTGATAAAATAATTAGATTTACAACTTCTTCTTTTTGACAACTGTAATTTCATTAAACTTAACATAAAGTATTTCTTGGCAATAATAAAATAATAAATTGTAAAGTCCAATTACCAAATATATAAATTGAAATGCATGGGCTCTGCCGAAACACTTTCTGATGAGGATTTTAACAAAAATTTTGGACTAGGGCACAACATGAGAGTACTATAGGAGGTATTGCAACAACAAAAAAACCACATTAATTTTCACCCTTTTGAAGAAAGAGACCCTACCCTAGTTTTCGTTGATTATTATATTTTTAGCTGTGCAAAATTTTAAGCTTTCAAAAATATTAATTTCTACATGCAAAACACTACCGTAATAAAATTTACAGTTTAAAATCTATAATCAAAATCTAAACCTACCGCCGTAATAACTTATACTCCTAATAATTATACAATTATCAAATGTCACAAGAACAATGGGAAGGATAATTTGTTACAGCTGTAAGTTTAGATTTTTGAATATATATTTTAAGCTGTAGTTTGAACCGACAACATTATATTGTACCATGTTGGTTGAAAATATTTTAAAAGAATGTTATATTTTTTTTTTAAAAAAGAATGTTATATCTGTCTATTTCGGTAGCTTATTTTCTAGCTAATGATGATTATGTTAGTTAGCATTGAATATTAAAATACACATTAAGTGATTAGGAATTAGGATGATGCAAAACTTATTACAAAGTAACAAGCAAAGAAAAAAAAACAATATATACGGAGGAGTTACAACTTACAAGACAAGGACAACAAATAATATTCCATAATACTTTGTTTTAATATATTAAAAAGGAGAATTTGATATTCCATAGTAATAATACTTTGAAAACATAATTTTAAATTCCTAAATATATACCAAAGAATTTTAAAACTGTTATTCCTCACACCAGTTCACTTTCAGCAATCACAAAAAAAAAAAAATTGCATCGCCAGTTACATGTTAAACTTAAAATTGTTCTTGATTGGATTATAATAAACATGTGTATGTTAATGGGTTTGAGCATTTCTTCTATATATTGTTGTAGTTTCGTCGCCACAATTTCCATGTGGTCGCTCATGGTAAAAATGGTCATATGGCCTCGAAGGATTCATGCAGTTATTCAATGGGACGTCTTACTTTAGCGGCGTCTCTCGGAGAAAATATTGGAACCCCATCATATATATTTTTAGTCATTAGCTATTTGTTGTAATGATAGAGAAATGTCTTCTTGTTTCCTTATTGTTAAGTTTATATTCATTTGATTCTTAATTATCTCTTCACTGCATCGCCAATATCAATATATTTGTATATTTCCTTTTTTTTTTTTCTTTAACTGCGTTAGAATTTTATCACACATTTTAACAATTTGAATTGTTTTTTGAAAATTTGAAACTCTAGTTTGAATCTTTTTTCGGTTCCGTCTAGAAAAGACTAATAAAAAAGTTTACAGAGGATATTTTACAAGTTATATTGATTATTCAAACTTATGCTCTAATCAAATGTTTAGCCTATGACTCTTTCTTCTTATAATTTTTGTGATGGCTCTGACTCTAATCGCTGTTGAATAAGAAAACTATAAACCATGACAAAATTAAAAAAGATAAAGAAAAAAGTTTATTTGACTTCTACATTGAGTAAAACAAGAAGAAAATGGTCATGGTACGTACTTTAAATTGAATAATACTACATAGTTTAGAAAAATGACAAATATTTGGTCGAGATTACTTGTGCATGCTCGACGAACATATATATGACTCGGTAAAGTATAGTAGCATACGTTACGTACATTATGAGCTCAATGACTACATATTGTCTGAACGACGACAACGTATAGAATATGTTGGAACCTTTCAACGGGTGAATATAATACTTTCAACAAACAAAAACCTTTTTAATATTTTTATTTCAAGGTACAATCAAAGTACACAGATCTCAATGATCTTATGACGTTGATAAAAATTACATAAAATCTACTTTGGAATATATGATTACGTACATCTCTATTTGGACAACAATTAAACAAATCCAAGATTTTGATTGAAAAGATAACATTTTCCAAACTTTAGGGATGGTTATTAGTTATTATAATGGTTTTTACACGTAAACATGTCTCCAAAGGTAGAACAATTCTCTGGTGATTAAAAGGATAAACTCGGTTTTTTTGTTAACCGTAAATTTCACGTGAAATCTAGAAGGGTGCACGGTGCGTCATAGACCATCCTTAGGAAATATATCAAGCCACACAGAAATCTATTTTATTGGTTTACATATATTTCTTATTCGAATAAAATGGTTATTATTATTTTTTAAATTTCCATGAAATGATTAAGCATTGTACATACTAAAGATACACCACGTAAAATTAACTCGACGACTTCTTAGCTAATTAGCAGCCTCATATACTCAGACTGGGCGGCTGGACTCATTTATAAATTTCTATGATAAATTTTTGAGTATCTAAATGAATAAAATGGAGATATTCTTATAGTTTTTACCCTAATAATATCGAACTCTTTTACCAATAGAACCAATAATATTTTCGTGGAAATCTAATGGCAGTTTCCTCACACCCTAAAGTCGTTGTCTTTCTTCTTCCTCCTGTATATATGCAAACTTAATGCCTTACTCCTTTTTGGTACACATACATAACACTTGCAATTAAAGAGAGTAAAACAAAACCATGAACACGGCGATCTTAAAAAAGTTATTGTGTTTTAAGACAAATGTTAACTCTTTACGAATATTCGATTCCAGGTCACTATCTTTGTCTTCTTCGTCTTCTTCTTCATTTACTCCTCCGAGCTACGACGTTTTTCTAAGCTTCAGAGGCGCAGATACTCGCAAGAGCTTCATCAGCTTTCTCTACAAGGACTTAGAATCTAAAGGGATTCGAACTTTCCTAGACGACAAGGAATTGGTGAGAGGCCGTCCGATTTCGCCGGAGCTTCTCCACGCAATCAAAGGGTCGAGAATCGCAGTCGTGGTGGTCTCTGTGAACTACCCTGCTTCGCCTTGGTGTCTCGAAGAGCTCAAGGAGATCTTGAAACTCCAGAAACTTGGTTTGCTGACTGTGATACCCATTTTCTACGAGATTGATCCTTCAGCCGTGAGGAGACAGATCGGAGTTGTCTTGAAACAGTTCAAGAAGCATGAGAAGAGACAAAGCAGAGAAAAAGTCAAATCGTGGAGGGAAGCGTTGACCACATTGGCTAATCTCTCCGGCGAGTGTTCAAAGGATTGGTATAAATCTCCAAAACCTTTATGAATCTGTTGAATCGTTTCTCGAAGTTTCGATCTTTTTTTCTCCTCTGTTTCTCAAAGTTAGGATCTTTGTCTCTGTTTCTCAAGTTTAGATATTTGTCTCTGTTTCTCAAAGTTTGGATCTTTGTCTCTGTTTCTCAAAGTTTGGATCTTTATCTACTGATTCTGTTTCAGGGAAGATGACTCGAAGCTGGTCGAAGAAATCACTGAGCAAATATCAAGCAAGTTGATCTCAGAAACACCATGCAATGATAATGTCTTAGTTGGGATCGACCAACACATGAGAGAACTGTATCCACGATTTGAACTGAATTCCAATGAAGATGTTCGAGTAATTGGGATTTGGGGAAGAGGAAGCATTGGTAGATCAGCACTCGCTAGCCACGTTTACCAAAACATCAAACATCACTTCGAAGCTCATTGTTATCTGGAAGACGTGAGACGGATTTCACAACATTGCCGTAAATCACATTTACAGGATGAGCTTCTCTCGAAGATGGAAGGAGAAGGTTTGACAATAAAGAGCAGCCGTAGGTGTCTCAAGACGATCAAAGCAAGGCTAAGGAACAAGAAGGTTCTTCTTGTGGCGAACGATGTAGACAAGATCGAACAATTCGACGCACTTGCTGAAGAGTTTAACTGGTTTGGTCCAGGGAGCAGAATCGTCATAACCACACAAGATAGGCAATTGCTTAAATCATCAGTGGTGAGGAGCGTCTACGAAGTGGAGCTCTTGAGATGCTACGAAGTTCGTCAGCTATTCAGGTCAGATGCCTTCAAACAAAGAGACGATCATGTTGGTTTCGAGCAGTCGTCTACATATGGAGGCATGAATATGAACATTTCAGGTTATGTTTTTTGTACCTTGAAAGGTATATTCACTTTGTTGTGTGACAAAGGCCAACTTAGGGAAAGGATCAATGCAATAGTATATAGTCTTTAGATCCATTTCATTTATAAAGCGGTTCTTTTTAAACACAAAGTATTTAGAATCAGGAATATTATTGAATTGATGTATTTGTTTGTTCCTTAGTTTTTAACATAGCCAATTTTTTTTTACATCTGGATGTGCCAGTTGTATATGTATGTAATAAACTAATCATACTGTTCTCCATTAAAAGAAATAAATAAAGAAAACACCAATTTTTTGAAAGATGTTGTCTGTACAATATAATTGAGGTATTTTTGATGTTTCGATATGTCCAATAACTTTTTTTGAAACTGGAGGCAACAAAAGTTGGAATCTAGTGATCTAAACCAGAGAAGAAAAAAGCGGCCTAACTTTTACACGATGATCCTCTACCACCACCACCACCACCACAAGTATACTACCAACAATAGTAAATTAGTAATAGTGCAACACTTGTCTATGTCACTGACAAATTTATAATAGAACAAAATATAAATAAGTATTAATTATTTTCTAGAGGAAGACTTTAACATGTTTTAGTCAACTACTTAAGATAATTGTAAACTCTTTTATTTTTATAACTGCTTTGTTTGAACTTATATAATCAATATCTATAAATATAAACCATTAGTCCCATAGCTAACAAAACATTTAAAATTTAACGAATATAAACTAGTCTACTAATCAAAGCCTAAATTTAAACTAGTCTACTAATTTAAGCCAATAAAATGTTTCAAATTAATACAGTGGAAAAGAAAGAGGACTTTGTTTCTTTTGTTCAATGAAGAGGACTTTTTAAAATTTGTTGGTGTGCAAAATTCAACAAAGTCTTGGTTACCAAGAGGATAAGATGATAATAATATGTTTTATTAATCTCATGCTGCTCTCATTTTCTTGTTTCGGCTGCCCAAGATCTTTTGGATTCTACAAAAACCCCTCTTTCTGAGTAGTTCAGTGAAACAGAAGCTGACAAAAGAAACTTCACAAAATAGGAAGATGCGAGGCAATATAGTAAGGAGTCTCTCTCTCTGCTCAAAGTTCTCTATAGTAGCTTTATATAAAGAGCCACTCGAGGAGTTCACAATTTATATCTCAAACACATACTCTCAAAATCTCTCATAGAGTCATAGAGAGAATCAAAAACCAAAATGTCTTGTGCTAAGTACGATGTCTTTCTAAGTTTTAGAGGGCTCGACACTCGCCCCAACTTCGTCAGCTTTCTCCACAAAGAACTGGATCGAAGGGGCATTCGAACCTTCAAAGACGACGAGGAGCTCGAGAATGGCCAGAGGATTTCCCCGGAGCTCAATCGCGCCATCGAGGTGTCGAGATTCGCCGTCGTTGTGGTCTCCGTCAACTACGCTGCGTCTCCTTGGTGTCTCGACGAGCTCGTCAAAATTATGGATTTTGAGAAAAAGGGTTCGATGACCGTTTTGCCCATCTTCTACGGCGTGGATCCGTGTCATGTGAGGAGGCAGATCGGGGACGTCGCTGAACAGCAGTTCAAGAAGCACGAGGACAGAGGAGTTGATCATGCGAAAGTGCTTTCATGGAGATTAGCATTGGAGAATTTGGCGAATATCTCCGGCGAGTGTTCATCGAAATGGTGAAATTTCCTAACTTTGATGATAAAAAAAAATTGAATTTTTATTGTTGGATTTGATTTGAAATCGAAAGATTGAATTTTTATGCTAAACCTTGGAATTTTGTTGTTCTCTCGGTCTGTGTAGGAATGATGACTCGAAGCTGGTCGACGAAATTGCTGATAAGATATCAGAAAAGCTGATGATTGTTAGAACAATAAGCAATGGGAGGAACATAGTGGGGATTGATAAACACATGAAGAATCTTAACCGATTAATGGATTTGAATTCCAAAAAAGATGTGAGAGTGGTTGGGATTTGGGCAAGAGGGGGCAGTGCTAGATCGGCTCTAGCTAAATATGTATATCAGACATCCTCTAAACACTTTGAAAGCCATTGTTTCCTGGGAAACTTGAAATTGATTTCTCAGGGTCGCTACTTTGAAAGCCATCTACACGAAGAGTTTTTGAAAAGTATGAAAGGAGAATGCTCGACGAGCACACAGGGTCTCAAGAACCAAAAGGTTCTGCTTGTGGCAGACGATGTCAGTAAGCTTAAACAGTTAGATGCGCTTGCAGTGGATTACAGCGGTTTTGGTCCGGGGAGTGTCGTTGTCATCACTACACAAGACAAGCGGCTGTTGCTTTCTCATGGTGTAGACAATGTCTACGAAATAAAGTTTTTGAGATTCCAAAAAGTCCGAAGAACAATCGCCTTTAAAAAGAGAGACATCTTTGCTGCGTTCGAGTCTGCTTTGTATCGAGCAAAAGATTTTGCCACGGAATGTTTTGGTTGCCCAACTAGTACATCTGGTTATGAGAAATTTTGTTAAACCCAATTTATTAAGTTTGAGGCTTCCTCTGCATTCATAATCATTTCTTTTTTTCTTTTCCTTTTGACACCTTGGTGTCGGGGTTTCGTGATCTGCGGAAGCAATCTGCATTCATCATCATGAATATATATATTTTTAAATGTAATAAATTTAGTTTTGTATGGTTATTTTGTCGTGTTAACTATTTATAATCATGAATCAAATCAGTGTGTCGAATCAGTGGGAGTAGGCTTTCAACAAGTGTTGCAAAAAAGTCCCCGAAAAAGCTCTAAAAAAAGACCACCCTCTTTTGGGCTAAAGACCTTCTTTCTCCTCTAGTGTATCTCATTAGGGTGTGAAGAGAACTTTTAGACTGGAAAACCTTTTCCTTTTTAGCCGCTTTATCCTGAAGTTTTTTTCGTGAATCTGGAAAGAGTAAAAGTGTTTCTTCTTAGCTGTTTTTCATTTCTGGGACCACTTTTTCTAGTTTTCGGAAGCTTTTGTTTGTTTTCAAGGCTGTCTATTTTCTTCCTTCCTCGGTTTCGCTCCTGTGTTTGGATCTGTGGTTTTTGGAAGAAAATAAGGGTTATTTTGACAAACGTGTCTTGGGTAGTCATGTCCTCTGCTATGGATAAGGCTATGTTGGCCATGTCCTTGGAAGAAGAAGATGAGGTGCCTTTTGAGATGCCAGATCTGCCGGAATTCAGTTCAGTTGAGAGAAATTCGATCAGCCTGATTGGTCGAACCCTAAATCCTTCTTGTCAGCCGATGAAGAACCTTATCAGAGTCATGCCTAGAAAATGGCAGAAACCGGGAAGGATGAGAGGTGTTGCTCTATCTAACGAGAAGTTTCAGTTTATCTTTGATTCTGAACATGATCTTCTAGAGGTGCTTGCTAAGGGCACGCATACGTACAATGATTGGTCTTTAGCTGTGGATAGGTGGTATGAAAGTCCTCCGGCAAACTATCTGCAGTGTATTCCGATTTGGGTTCAGATATGGAATCTCCCGGTGAACTTTTTCACGGTGAAAGCCATCACAGCTTTGGGAGAGTTGATTGGGGAAGTGAAAGAGGTTGCTTTTGACCCCGACATTCCACAAATTCAAGAATTTG